GGTGATGGACCGGACGTAGTTCATGGTGGATGGAGGAAGGGGTGCGAGAGTGTGTGAGGGGGAGAGGGGGAGAGGGTGCAGCAGGGCCCCAGTTGCGCCGGGAGGGGGTGGGCGTGGGCGTGGGCGTAGGCGTGGTGGGAGGCAGCAAGTGTCGGGGAATGTACGTCAGATGGGTTTTACAGTGGAGGTGGGTGGAATGATGCAAATGATCCGAGGCCGCGTGCTTTCACATGCCACAGGACTGGCGCATGGACGAGCAGGCCGACGGAGACGAAGCAGCGGCAGACGGAGCGTGGAGCGATGCGATGCGATGCGATGCGATAGATTGGAGAGCGGCCAGACAGAGCGCTCGTGCGAGTCGATATGGCCGTATACCGTCATGTCACGGGCAGTCGGCGGCTTTGCGACGTCAGCACCGGCCGGCCTTGCAGGCTGGTAGGCTGGTAGGCTGGCGGGGCCCACGGCCATCAGGTGGGCAATGGCAATGGCAAAGGCCATGGCGTGGCCATGGACATGTTGCATCTTGCATGGCCGGATGTTGTAATGGCTGTCATGGCGGTGCAGTGCACATGCGCTTACGAGGACATGGGCTTTGGATGGGGATGGGGATTGGAGCATGGAGAAGCGGGTGCTTGGGTGCTTGGGGGGGTGTTGGGAGCTGTCACTGAGCGACCACGTGCGCCATCAGAATGAGCATCCCTGGCTTGGCATATATTCGAGTCTGAAAGAGTCCCATGATATACTACTACTACTACTGGATATTATACTCTAGATATATACATACCCAATATGTAAATGTATTGTTGTATTAATAGTAGTAGTGGTACATCACTGTATAGTACTTTACTCACGTGCACAGCCAAACCACTCGCACCACAGGGCTGCAGGGCAGCGGCGGCTTGTCGACACGCCAAGACGAGCACCAAATGCTTGTCGCCCCGGCCGCACTCGGCCATATTCCATACTATTATGCCACTTCACTCTCCCAACCCAGACGGACAAACCACCCCCATCACCTCTCGTTTTTCTCTTCCCCAGGCGGCGACTCTGGGCCCCGACAAGCAACAAACCCGCCGCCGCCGCCGCCCAAGCCATCATGTTCTCCGACCCTGCAGCCGCCCTGCACTGGCCGCCTGACGTCGCCCACTACAACATGGAGGCCCTCTTGTTCTCGTCGTCTGGATGGCTCCGAACCGCCTGCGTCGTCTTGGCCCTGTTCTGGTACGCATGCAATCAATCAATCAATGACTGAATAAACAAGTGCCTCGTAACGCACTTGGCTACTCCCTCCCTGACGCGCTCGTGTTGACCTCGCGCCCAGGGTCGCCTTTCGCGCATACCAAGTCCTCACCCAGCCTGTTGACAAGCTGATCCACGTTCTCGGCCTCGAAGTCCCCGTCGCGCCCATCGTCTCCCTCGCCGGCATCAAGGCTGACGGCGCCCTGCTGCACTGGAAGCCCCCCGACCAGCGTCCCTCGGTCCTCAAATATGTCATTCGTATCAACGGCATAGACAGTACGTCGTTGCCCTTTGCCCCGCTTCCAACCCGACCTTCTAACCCACTTCCCCCCCTCCCAGTCGGCGATATCTCACCCCAGGAATCCTCCATTACTATTGAAAATCTCTTGCCCGACTGCCACTACACCATCCGCATCGTCACCCTCAACTCGTCCAGCTTCCAGGCCCCCAGTGTCCCCATCCGCTTCCGTACCCTCCCCGCCGACTCGGACGATTACTACGCGCCCCATCCGCCCAAGGATGCCGTACCCCCTTCCGACGACAATGACTACACTCCGACCCCAATTATTCGCCCCAACAAGACACTCGCAGAGGTCGTCACCGCCGTCGCTGCTCCTCCCATGACCCGCGAACACAGCAACAGCACCTCTCGCTTGCGCCGCCCAGATGTCGGCAGAAGGACCTCACCTGCGTCGCAAGATCAGCTTCGCAATGCCCAAGAATCAGAAGGTTCGGATTCTATCCGCCAATTGACTGAAAAACTCGACGCCCTCCGGCGCGAACTCGATGACGTGGAGCGTCAGATGCAGGATGAGGATCAGGAATTTGTCAGCCAAAAGGCTATTCTCGCCGACAAGCGCGACGAGAAAAAGGCTGCGCTCAAGGAAAAAGAAGATGCCAGTCGCGACTTGCGCAAGGAAGTGGCTAGTCTCGAGCGCCAGAACGCGGCAGCCCAAGCCAAGCGCGCTCATCAAGAAAAAATCTTCCGCCAAAAAGAAGCAGAGAGAAAGAAGCTCAAAGACGACGTAGCCAAATGGACTCGCGAAGCGGTCGAATTTCGTGAAACTGCAGAGAAGATCAAACAAGAGCAGGTTGAGTACGAAGCGGATTCAGAGAAGCGCATCCAGGAACTCAAGGATAAATACGCCGAAGAGACCCAGGCCAACAAGGTCTTGGAGGATGCCATTCGTGAAAAGGGAATCCACATCAAGGCGCTCGAGGAGGAGAGAAAGAAGCTCGAGGCTGGCCAGGAGGGTGCAGAAGCGACAGACGGGCCCGATCACGCAGAAAGGGAAGAGGACAACCGATGGAAAATGACTCTTGGCTTGCTGCAACAGCAGTATGCCCAGGCCTGGGCCCTGTATGCAGAAGCAGAGAGAGCTCACCAAGATGCGGTCAACAGACTCGGGTACATGCAGCAACGTCGTTTAAGTCAACCCCAGCTCTTCTCAGGACCATCTGTTCCGGATATGGGACCAGGACCAGTGAGGAGGAACAGCCAGCGGGCACGACCGCTTAGCATGCGCGAAGGCCTACTTTCTGCTGCCACTGGAGGCTTTGTCCACACTTCTTCGGTCCCTTTCAACAGCATCCCAACCACCGCCTCTCCGTCGTTCGCAAACCCAACTCCCTATTTCAACCCAGTAAACGGCATGGCATTACCTCCGCGTACATACAGCACATCCTTTTCGCAAACCGACATGGAGAGCCTGACCGGAGGGGCCCCAATGAGTCCCACAGCTGGTTCTTTGCTTCCAGCTGGTCTGTTTGGAGACGACTTGGGCTTGACAGAAGACGAAGACTACGACGACCCGGGCCCACCACAAGCACCTTCTCTCAACCCCTCGCCAAACATGAGAAACGTTCTACCCGGCTTGGGCGCGCCTGGCACAATGCACTATACACAAAACTCGAGCTTGCCAGCCTCACCACGGGCTCAGTCCCCCACTGGATTTGCAAGTCCCAGAGATAGTGCCGGCGAACTGCAAATGCAGTCGAGCAACGACAACAATATGGATAGCGACAGACGCTCCATCCACTCAGCCTCGAGTTCGTTCCAAGCTAACCCTCAAGCCAGTCGATTCGGCGGACTCTTTGGCCTTAATCGAGCACGTGGCAAAACATTCTCAGACGACGGCCCGGCCTTGGGATCCCTCAAGCCATCCCAAAGTCAATCTCTGCCACGTCAGGAGCACGGTCTGGATGGCCTCGGCGCTCCACGCCGCCGTGGTAGTCTCACAGAAGGTTCGTGGTACGATGCATTCATACGCACCAAGACGCAACCCATAGAGTCTTCGAGCAGTCCCAAGCATGTAGCTACTCGCAAACGGCCATTCAATATGTTTGGTAGTGCCAAAGGAGAGGATCCGTGGCTCCGCTCCATGCTGGGAATGCACCAGAGGCCAGAGTCACCTCGCCAGGGGTCCACGAATTCTGGAGAAGGCACGGCATTACCACGGCCTTCGACAGAAAGCCAAACGCGCTTTGGTTGGAATGTGGACGCGTTCGGTGCTAGGTCTAGCCCTCTCGGAGTCGACTGGAGTGTCAACAACACTAATACCGCCTCGTGGTCCCGGTTGGGGTCTAGGCGGCCATCAATCCAGCATACGGCCAATGCCAACTTGATCAATGAGGACATCATGCACGACGATGTCCTCGACTTTCCTTCAAATACACGATCACCTACACAAGCACCAATTGGCACCCGACCGCAGTCGTCTGCGTCGCACATGCCGGGTCAGATGTCGGCCTCGTCCCTACCACCTATTCCGCCGACTCCACCCAAACAGCTGAACCCAGCGGCTGCTAGTTTCACTATGTTCCAGTTGGGCAAGAAGACGGAGGAAGATAGGGCTGAGAAGGCTAAACGTGCTGCAGAAAAGGCCGCTGAGAAGGAAGCTAAGAAGGCTGGAAAAGCAGAAAAGAAAGAGGAAAAGGAGAAGAAAGCCAAGGCGGACAAGGCAGAAAAAGCATCACGCAAAGACAAGCATACGCCGTCAGAAGCTGGCGACTCGCGAGAAGCAACCTCACCCCACCTTGACTCTCGTATGTCCCGAGACACACCCTCCATCTCCACGGCCGATGCATCGGAGTCGTCTCCACGCGAGTCACTGGAGCATAGCATTTCTTACGCTGCATCAGACACTGCAGGGTCTATAGGCAAAGAGTCTTTTATGCAGAAACTGACGCGCAAAGGCAGCACCAACCAATTTCTTACCTTTGGAAAGAAGAGTGGCCTCTTTTCTAAGAGTAAGGCTGGCGATGTTCCCGGAACTCCAGATGAGGTTGAAGAGGAAGGCTCTAGCGGCTTTTTTGGGTTGGGTAAAAGCGCAGACAGCGTAGGAAATAGCCCAAGCATTGGTACTCCAAAAGATAAGGCGAGTGTTTGGGGCTCTATTAAGCGTATTGGCAAGAAGGACAAGACACCGAGCTTGCATGAGAGCATTGCTAGTGAGGCTACCGGTGACGAGGAGGACATGGCTGAGGAGAATATCAAGGCATAGCTTGTAGTACTTGTTTGATATACAAGTGTAACAAAAAACTAATGGCGTTCAAAAAGGAATGAAATTCATATCGCATCGTAAGATTGTGAACTTACTTCGTTGTCCACTTGTAGGCTTCACTGGTGTGACGTTCTTCCCCGGATTCTACATGCTGCACGCCAAGCACGGCGCGACTTGGGCAACTTCACTTTGACTTCAGACGAGCAACCAACAACCCAACGACCCAACCCCGCGTCTCCCCCTTACGTCACGGGCACCATGGCTTCGCCAGCCGCAGAAAATGTGCCTAATGGCATTTCCACCCCACCAGCTACTGCAAACGCACCCACACTCAGCCCACCCACACAGCCACCACCTGCATCGCAACCGTCGCAAGCATCCAATGGCGCGTCAACAAACCCAACAGCCAGCATGAACGCCGCCTTTCCGTCCAGCTCACTCCAGGACAATGGAACCAGCAAGCGCCCCCGCGACGCACGCCTCATCCATCTAATTCTAGCCAACATGGGCGTACACGCCTACACGGAGCGCGTGCCGCTACAGCTCCTCGACTTTGCCTACCGATACACCTCGTCCATCCTCTCCGACGCGTTGTCATACGAGCCACCGTTACCCACGACGTCGGCGTCGAAGAAACGCAGCGGTCCCAACGCCGAGTCGGGCGAAGACGGCGTGTCGCTGAATGCACTGCGCACGGCAGTCGGAGCGCGGGCTGCAAGCACCTTCCAAGGTACGCTGGGCAAGGAATTCATGAGCGAGGTGGCGCTCGAGCGGAACCGCATTGCGCTACCCCGTGTCGACCGCGAGTTTGGAATTCGCCTGCCGCCCGAGCGGTACTGTTTTACGGGTGTGGGATGGGATGTCAAGGGCGCGTGGGAAGAGGAGCTTGAGGAGACCAACGAGGATGTCGATATGGATGATGATGTGGGTGCTAGTGGAGCGGGCTTTGGGGGCCCTGTAGGCGGTGTCAATGGGAATGCTGGGGGCGAAGCGGGGGATACGACTATGGGTGGTATGGAGGATGAGGAGCAGGATGATGACGAGTTCGAGGAGGCCATGGGGATCAACCAGGAGAATAACAGTTAATTATCCCGAGGCAATTGTTGTTCGAGGTAATGAGGTTGGCGGTGGGGATGGTCGTGGGAAGAGTGAAGAGAAGGCGTTCGGTGGATCTTTTAGCATTTTATGGCGTTGAGAGAGAGGTAGAGAGGTATGGGCCTGGTCTTTCTACATTATATATACCAGAGCTTCAAATGGCTCAGTCCTGCATAGTTCTACATGCGATCATTATTTAGCAAAAAAAAGAAAGAAATATATGGATAATTTCCAAGATGATGTTACAATATCATACAAAGTGGGTTTTGTCCTGTTCCTGTACAAGAATGGGCAATGTGAGTTTTTCCTTCTTTTACTTTCCGCTCCACATCCACACCCATTCACGTCCCTCTATATATCCCTCCCCTCGTAACACCCCGATCATCCACACGGTTCTCCTCACGCCTCGCCAGCCCAGCCTCATTCACCTGCTCCGCCCTCTTCCCCACCGTCCTCCCTTGCTCATCCAAATTCCACCATTCCTTATGCTTCGTCCGCGCCTCCTCAAGCTTCCTCTGATGTTCTTCTCTCGCCTGCCATCGTCAGAAACAATAATATCCTAAACCTGGTAATCACTCCCCAGTTGTGCTCGTCCTCCCTCCCCCATTCCCACCATAATAACATGGTAAAGAAGGAGGAGAATAGATATAGATATAAGAAAGATATTTACCTTTTTCCTTTCCCCCGCAAGCGCAAACCACTCCTGCCGCGCCTTGTCCAGCTCATCCTGATTCTGATACTGCAGCATACAGCTGTTCATGGCGAGCCGCGCATCACGACACGCATAGATCATGGTAAATGTGCGGCCGAGGGCGCATGAGGCAAAAGTTTCGATTTCGGGGGCGCATTTGGCTCGCACGTTTTTGTAGTACAGGTCGCGCACTTGTTGTTCTTGCGGGGCGGATAGCGGCGTCGGGTTGCTGGGGAGCGGGTTGTTGCCGACTATCATACGGTCTGTCATTTTTGCCTCTGGTGGTGGAGGGGGGTTGCGCAGAGGGGGCGCTGGATGGAATGGCTTGTCTCTTTCTCTTTATATTTCTAGGTTGCTGTGTCACCTCGATGATGGTGGTGGGTGGAAAGCGAGCGTGGTGGGGGATATGCGTGTATCGTGTTCGAGTGTGTGGTCAATCTGCTACGTGCTGCAGCAGCCGTCGTTGGGGGAATTGAGCGCTGGGAGTTGCAAGGCTTGGATGGTAGTCACTCCGCAATACCGTGATTCCAAAGTCGAGATTGGTATGATTCGGAGCAGGCATTATAATTGCGGATACGGAGTGGAGCATGCTGGTGTCGGTGTTTTGGGTACGTTTGGCACCGATGGGGGGAGGCTGATGAACCGAGGCACATGGCAGTGCAGCTAGGGAAACAGTTCACATGCAGTACGAGACCTCTCACGTACATTCACATACACAAATCAACACTACACTCGACGCATTTCATATTCTCTTTGGTAGTCATTAACCTCGTCTACCCACACTTCTACATTACACACTCGACACAAGCATAAAGCAGTCAAACAACACAAAATGAAGATCGCGAACCGAACATTCCTCATAAGCGGCGGCGTGTCTGGCCTCGGCCTGGCAACAGCACGCGCACTCCACCAACAAGGCGCATACGTCTCACTGCTCGATCTTAATGCCGAAAATGGTTCCAAAGTCGTCTCTGAACTCGGCTCTCGCGCAAAGTTCTTTGAAACTGACGTCTCGGATACCCAGGCCATTGCTGCTGCAGTACAAGGAACAGTGGCTTGGGTCAAGGAAACGGGAAAGCACATTGGAGGCGTGGTCGCTGGCGCAGGTGTGGGAATGCCAGGATTAATCATTGACAAGAAGAATGAGCCGTTGAGCCTTGAGAACATTGATTTCGTACTAAACATCAACCTGCGAGGAACGCTGGATCTGATCCGTCAGACACTGCCACAGATGACCACTGCACCTTCTTCAGGCCCCGACGGCGCCCGCGGTGTCATCATCATGATTGCTTCCTCCGCTGCTTTTGACGGCCAAATGGGCCAGGTCGCATACGCAGCCTCCAAGGGAGCAGTCGCATCTCTTACTCTCCCCCTCGCGCGCGATCTCTCAAGGTATGGTATCAGAGCCGTGACCATAGCGCCCAGCATGTTCGACAGCGCCATGACGCGCATGATGAGCGACAAGGTCAGGAAGAGCCTGGAGAGCAGCATGGAGTTCCCAAAGAGGCCAGGACAACCGGACGAGTTTGCCAGATTGGTGGTGGAATGCATTGGAAATGACATGTTGAATGGAACGGTGCTGCGGTTGGACGGCGCAATGAGGATGCCGGCCAGACTATAGTTTTGATGTTTGATTACTTTTTTGTTTGTTTCCAAATCAACGCAGTGTCTTCAACGCTTGCGCTCGCGGACTTTGAACTTGACGCCGTTCTTATTGACTCCTCCCACTGTGTTGTTCATTTTTGCGCGCTGCAGCTCCAGCTCCTCTTCTGCAGCCATCAGTTCGCGTTCTCGTTTCTTGATCCCTTGCAATTTCGAGGCTGTCCTTTCTAGCGCGCGCTCCCTGTCTTTACGGAATTTCCTGGCTTCTCGCCGCGCCTGCTCCTCTGTCTCTGCTTGCTTCTTGGACAGTGTCTTGGGCTGCTGTATGGCTTGGTCCTCGTCCTCCTCCGACTCATCTTGGAGATCACCAAACGTCGGTGAGTCTACTGGGCTAGGCATTTTCTCGCCACGCCCAAACCATGCATCCGGATCGAATTCTTCTTGCTCCTCCTCATTCTCCACAAAGACCCTATGTTTGCCATGCTTTGCCTCCTCCCCGTCCTTCATAGCCCGGACCTCGCCCTGCTCCTCCATGACCAACTTCTTCTCGAGCTCTTCGCGCTCTTTCCGAGTGACCTGGAGCATGGTGCGGATGTAGCCTGCATCCTGGGTTTTCAGCAGCTTAACCACGTCGACGCTCAGGGCCTTGTTGCCCCGGTCTGCCACCTTGCGGCCATGTTTGTCCACCTGGGACGACATCATCTTGAAGGAAAACTCATCGGGATTGCGGTCGCGAGCCTTCTGGCTCAGGATCTTGAGCTTGGCCTTCTTCTGTCGATGGTCTGCAGCGCGCAGCTTGTAGTCCTTGCGCTTCTCGAGCAGACCCCATTTCTCTCGCTCGAGGGGTTGCGCGCGCTCTTTGTGGTTGCGCCGTTGGACGGCATTTCGCATTGATGACATGTTGGTGCGGCGTAGAGGTCTGTGTCGGCCTTGACGGTTCGCTGGTGTTGACTTGAAACTGCTGGAAATTATTCCAGGCGCCAAGATTCCGACCCGCTAAAATGTTCTTCTCTTCGGGCGTCTGTGCGTGCTCCGCCGCATGTCCGCGCCCTCGCCCTAACCGCCAGTTCGAGGCCTACTGGGAAAACCTGAACGGTTCTCATGACAGATTCTGCACAGGAAGAGAACCACATCGGGGCCCGCATTGCCTATTCTACATATCATATTGCACATCATTCCCTCATCGGCATCCTATTAGGAGTGTCTTCATTCGTCTGTTGGCTTCGACATGCCTTACCCTGCACCTAACCTGAAGTATGTAAGTACATACATGACAGCCTGCAGAAATAGTCTCAAACATGATATGAGATTTCATTCCCGGCGCGTAAGCACTTTGCATCGTGGCAAAGGCTATTCGACAATTACGCGGATTGGCATGCAAGAATGTACGTATACAAGGAGACCCCATTCTTAGGCCCGCAGCTATCTGTCTGCGAGCGTGCTAAATGAGATGTGGTCCTCGACGAAATGACGACTCTCCATAAATTGGTGATAGCCATCAAGTCATTTTTCAGTGTAGTGACCCTTCCGGGGACCGTGGTTTTCGTACCTGTCCGCCCGTACTCGGAAACGAGGCCTAAAGGTCTGGCCGAGACGCCAAGTCTATGTTAAATTGAAGCCAAGAAACCCTTTGAGATCCAACGACAAATTTGGAACTGATCTGTGGCGAAGATGATATTTTCTCCTACCGTTTGCAGTCATGGCAAAACCCACTCACTTGAATAACCTTGCCTTACCGCTCGCCCAGAGTGCTTTGTGGAATATTCAAAAACATAATTCGTACTATGCAGGCATCTGATAATTATTCCGTCACTACGTAGTCTTTCTAAGTGTAATATAGACGAGGAAAGTCACTCGACCACACAAGGCCTAGCCCTACCAACTGCCAGCCACTTATCCTACAATAGTAACCATCACACGTTTTTCTTGAACGATCCGCCCATGCAGAAAATGTGCCCCCAGCGGCGTCGTCTTGGCCTTTGGACACTCAAGTCCATCTGCGGTAATTTCGCATACTCCACCACCCGTTTATGTAGGTATCCACATGTGTTCGCAACCCGAGCGCTTATGCATAGAAAATTAGAAATGTATTCATTAAAGACAGCACGCTTCCCACCTCTTCCTATGCCATCGTGTTGCACTGTTTTTATTTCTCACTTCTAATCTTGTGCCTAATCGGGAAACAAATTCCAATCCCTCTAATCCATCGCACCTTTTCCCGAGGTCGGTTTGATTGGCAACTCGCCACTTTTTTTTCAACATGATCTCTCAAGTCGCTCTTTTCTCGCTCGTCGCCAACATGGCCGCTGCGCACATTCTGGACATTCCCACTCGTGTCGGCGATGTCATTGCGTTGCCAGAAGCTAGCGTCATCACAGGTTCCGTCGACTTCGGCAACAAAGAGTTTGACCGTGGCCACAAGTGTGACACGGACGACGACACTGGCAGCCAGAATGCCGTCTTCGTCCTGCAAGACGGTGCCTCCATCTCCAACGTTATCATTGGTACCGATGCGCTCGAGGGCGTCCACTGCTTGGGCTCTTGCACGCTGACCAACGTCTGGTTCCGCGACGTCTGTGAAGATGCCATTTCTGTCCTTGGCACTGGTGACGCTCTCATTGTCGGTGGTGGAGCAACCAATGCTATTGACAAGGTTGTTCAGCACAAGTCAGTTCCCTTTTACCAATGCAGATGGGAAGCCTGCTAACATAATTGTAGCGGCCCTGGAACTGTGACAATCCGCGACTATACCATTGTCAATGCCGGTAAACTCTACCGCTCATGCGGTGACTGCACCAACAACAGCAAGAAGTCTCCCCGAAAAGTCATTGTCGAGAACGTCAAGGCCTTTGGATTGACCTCTGACTTGGTTGGAATCAACCCCAACTTTGGTGACAGTGCGACTATCAGCGGCTCATGTGGACAGACCAAGGAAGTCTGCGTAGACTACCAGGGCGTTGACAAGGGTAACGGCAAGAGCCAGAGGCTCAACACCAAGCAGAGCTGCGATGGTCCCCAAGGCAAGCTCGAGAAACTCCCAGAGTGTGGTGCGGTTGAGGCACCAACTACCACTATCACAGCAAGCAGCACCCCAGTCTACAACGTCACAGTGCCTTTTCCTACCTTGACCGTTTCCACCCTCATCACTAAAACCTCCGTCATTGCCACCCCAACTCAGTAAGACATGTCCGTAACCTTTATATCTTTCGCATAGCTAATAAACCATCAGGGGCAGCGGAAACTACGACGGTAGCTACGGCGATGGCCACGGTAACAGCAACAGTGTCTCGCTATTTGGACGCTGTGGCGGTAAGGGTCACACTGGACCCACTACTTGCCGTTACGGCAGGTGTGTCGCATTCAACCCATGGTTCTCCATGTGTGTCTGAGCTGTATAGAGTGCCGGTGCGACGGACTTTAGACAGTATGATGTGGTTCGGCCTATGCCGGGGTTCGCTCCCTCACGGCTTCTTTTCTTCTGACTATATTTTATTCACTGTACATACATATTTACTTGCCGACCAATCAATTACCATCTACAGCAGGAATGATGCTACTATTATGTTGCTCACTTATGGTGTTGCTTGTCCGCCGTTGAGCGTTGATTTCACGTGATCCCTGTAACTTGATGTTGGTTGCATGCCTGCTAAATGGAGGCATGTGCTTCACAAAGAATAGTTGCCGGTTGGCTGCATGTACGCATACACTATGAACGTTATAGTCAATTTTTTAGTAGCCCATCATAGCATTTGAATGAGAAATGTGAACAAAACAGTCCGATTCGCAGTCTATACTCAAAAACGGTGCAAACTCTTGGCTATGCAGCTGTGCAAGTGAAGGAAGTCATCGGTGGTAAACATGACGTCAATAATTGGCAAGCGAATGCCACCTTCGAGTTACCCCGAGCCACGTTGACTGCCTTTTGCATAGAGGATTGTAGCAACACTATTTGGCCCGTATACCCGAAGAAACGATGACCCGGTTATATACGGAACGATTGCTTGAACTGGTACCATCTGTGGCTCGCCTGGCTATTCTCGCATCCCCTCACTGGGCAAAGGGCTTGTCGTCTTGGTTTTTCCGACACCACAGTCAGCCATACCGAAATGCGGTAATAGCGCAATACTAAAACCTGGAGAAATACGATGATCTCTTACCGGAAGAAGTGCGGAGCCCCACACAACATCTTCCAGGGTTCACGTTGTTGTGGATTCGGGCTATTAACCCCCGTAGTCGCTTGGCTGGGAAATAGTTGTGGACTTTGACCGGCTATTATATGAAGTCCAAGCAAGCCGTTGTACCCAGCAGCGTCCTTATCCAAGTCTCCCTACCATAACCTCACAATGGGGTTCAACAAGCTATTGTGCCGTCTTGTGTTGGTTTCTGCAACTACGTCTGCTAAATGGATTGTTCCCGGAGCTCGATGGAGAGCAACAGATGGCTCACTCGTCAATGCGCACGCAGGCGGTGTGACTGTGGATCCTGATACCGGCAAGTTCTTTCTGTTTGGAGAATACAAAGTTCAAGGCCAAGAAGAAGGTGGTGGTGTGAGCGTCTACAGTTCCGACGATCTTGCAACATGGGAACCCCACGGTTTAGCATTGACCCCAATCGAAGACCATCCCTACATTTCGAAGAAGGACATCATCCAGAGACCAAAAGTTGCATACAGCAAGGCTACCAGCAAGTATCATGTACGACATTGACATATGTTCTCTCGGCGGTTCAACTGATAATTCGTAGATGTGGTGGCATGCCGACAATTCGACGTACGGCGAGTTACTCCAAGGTTTTGCCGTTTCCGACAACATCACCGGACCCTATACTTTCGTCGATGCTACGGCACCTCTTGGAAATTGGTCGCAAGATTTTGGCATGTTTGTAGACCAAAAGGATGGACGTGCATACGCCCTTTACTCCAATGGCGACCGCCGCGAAGGACGCGACGTTTATCTCACATCCTACAATGAGAATATAACTGCTCTTGACGAGGTCATCCACCGTTTCGATAAGTACGATCTGGAGGCTCCCAACATTGTACAGACAGATCAGAGCTACTTTGCGCTCATGTCGCATAAGACGGGGTACCGGCCAAATAGTAAGATGCAAGTCTTTGTCGAAGTGTGCAAAAAAACACTAACTCTACCAAGATGTAGTCGCATTCCGCGCAGACTCTCTTTCTGGTCCCTGGTCGCAGCCATTCATAATTGCGCCATTGAATACACGCACGTACAACTCCCAGTCAGGCTTCAATCTCCGTATCAACGGTACCAAGAAGACAACCTACATCTACATGGGAGACCAATGGGATTCCATCTCGCTGTGGGAATCAAGGCAAGAAACTTGGAAGTTGTAAATACAGAAGGATAGAGTGCTGACAACGAACAGGTACATTTGGCTTCCACTCGAAATCAATGAGGAAGAAAAATCCCTTGAAGTTGTATGGCATGATGTCTACGATCTGAATGTAAAAACTGGGGAAGTCACACCCATCGAAGGCACTACCTACTATAACAAGGATGCAACCACGACTGGAAATGCATGGCACCAGGAAGCCAGATTCGCAAGCGACAAAGTCATTGTCACTGGCATCTATGGCAACGACAGCAAAGTCACCTTCCACAACATTGAAGGCAGCGGCAAACCTCAGTGGGTATCGTTCTACTATCAAAACACAGACGATATGGGCTTTGGTGACCAACCTGGTGGCACTCCCGATCGTATCAATGGAACTTGGCAACTTCGTCGCATTTCCAGCGTCATTGTCAACAACAAGACTGAAGAGCTTCAGACATTGTACCAAAGAGATACCCATAAGGGAATTATTCTGAGCACACCGCTGATGCTTGACTTGGAGAAGGGAAGCCACAACACCATTACCATTGGCGGTCTCTACAACGGCAAAGATTACAAGGGTGCAGATATCGACCGTATTGTAGTCTATCCGCCCGAAGAGTGATTGGGGGCTTTCAAGTACTGACGAGTCATGAATACTGCAAATGTAATGTTTTGATGAAATTCTATCAAAGGTTATGGATGGACAACACAAGTTACTTCTCTCGTTTGTCTTGATCTAATCCCTCAAGCACCGATCTAATTGCCAAACAACAAAATGTTGAAAGCGCTCACTCATTTCTAAAGATCATGGCATCGTCGGTCTACGCACGCAAAACAGGATGACCCGGAACGCCGCCGCATGACCCATCTATGTTCATCGTAATCTATGCCCATCCTATCCGATAAAGATTGTATCCGCTCTCATCGCCCCTTCCAATACCGCTTCTCTTCTCAACGAACTCCTTTTCCACTATGCGGAAAACCGTACCGCTTGTGTTCTTGGGACACTTTTCAGGAACAAAAGCGGACTCGACAGTTTCGGGGATACCTTCAAACTTGCCCGTCTTGCGCACCGTGACCATTAGCCAAAAAGTGCCATCCAGAGTCAGCATATGCGCAGCACAATCGCGTAGCCAAGCAGCATGCTCGGGTGCATAGACGACGTCAGACGCGATGAGGAGATCGGAAGTTGCCTTCAGCCCTTGAGGCGGCTGTGCCCAATCCAGAATTGCAGTCGACACAGGCGGTGATGCATCAGTGCAGCTCGAGGGAAAGTTAGTTTTGATGTTGATTTTGCAATTCTCCAGGACGGCTGGGTGGTAATCAGTCGCTGCTATGTCACCATTGTGAATGTTGATGGTGGGAAGGAGCTTTGCTAGCACTAGACTGACGAGACCAGTCCCCGCTCCCAACTCGGTGATCTTGGGCGCGAGTGCGAGGTCTGATGGATCCAGTCCGAACCGCTTGGGATCGGCGCACATCATGCTACTGAGGACGATGCTAGCACCCCAGGATTGCAGGCCAACAGCAGTGTGGTCCGTACTTGAGAGCGGCGCATCGTTGAGTGTGACTTGGATTGCTTCCCCAGAGGGCATGGAAAAGCTGAAGTCGCGGGTTAGCGCCTCGTCTTCGTCACTGTTGCTGGATTCGAATAAACTCGAAAGAATAAAGGCAGCATCGTCGACGATCCTCTCGCGAGCCTCTTCGTCCATGTTCATTTCCTCCGAACGCGCGAGAAGCGAATTTAGCCATTGCGTGGTGAAAGTGCGTTCGAATGGGTCGGCACGTAGAGCGGTGGTCAGCTCCTCCAGATTCGTCTCTTGGTCGTCTCCGTCCTCGTCCTGAGAAGCATAGCCGGAATCAACAGGAGCTGGTGGCGATGTGATTGATTGCTGATCTCGCTTGGATACCTGTGTGGAAATGACAGTCGGTAAGCGTACGGGACAATACAGGGCTCGCAAATGCTTCAGCGCCGAGGTGACTTGGACTTCTGGCAGGGAAACGAGCAAACGAGCGGGTGGTAAACTGCTTGAAGGCGGCAGACAACTGCCTATGAGACTGCCACTCATTTGACGGCTCTCGCTAAGGAACGAAGGACAAAGAGGGTAACGCGCGCGCAGACGGAAAACAAAAAGGAAAGAATGTGGAGAGGGAAAAGAACCGGAGACGACGCGGGGAAAAAAAAGGGTCTATCGTGGATCAGAAAGCGAACGATAAGGAGGATAACACGATAATACTGGGTTTAGCCTCACGCTCGGACAAATGCCGCTACTTTGGGAAGTTTTCACCGCCTGTCATATTGCACCGGGGGCGTGTGTGTGGATCACGATGCATTATTTTGAGAAGGATTAGAATGAGGAATCCGGCGTGGCATTCCCCCTTGGTCCAGGGATCTACATAGCTTTCGAAACATGTACGCAGTGAATTGTTGGCTCTTTCTCACGATGTGTGCTTGGAGTGAGATAGGATTTCGTGTCAAATGGTAATCGCCACGTGGGTCGCTAAAGATCAGCCTCATCGACGCTACTCCAGACTTCGCTTAGCGCACACAGACCCTTTGGTCCAAACGGCTTGCAGCCATGGGTTTCCCCTACCAATGTACGGTCAACTCCGGCGAATGCCATTTGGATAATGTCGCGGAACGGGAAAAGGTTTCTGAAACATCTTGGTATGCCAGATTGGGAACTTGTCAACAGTCCGTGGATTGCAGCGCTAGTGGCTTGGAAGGCTTATGCTATATAGAACGGCCGAAGTCCCCAGCATCCGACATGAGGACTAGGATCCTATTGCTTACATCCCGGATATACCTGCGATAACTAGATGTCCTTCACGAGTTTAATTCAGGGAGTGATAACAGCATCGCTACAAGACAATGATTGCCCTCCGTTGCCGATCCTATTGTAATTATAAGACATTGGGTTGGAAAGAAGAAGAAATTGGGTGATAGTAATCTTCATTCATCGAATAGGCTCGATCAGCATCTTTGGCAGCAAAAGAAACGGAATCGGTTTACTGATTTTCATTCTCATCGATGTGTATCCGTTGATAGATAATTTGCGGGCAATAATGAACGACAAAGCCACGGTCACAATCGTAATGGCTGATATTGACATACTTCTGAGGTGTTTTTTCAACAGTTGACTTTAGATGGATTATTTTCGTGAAAAAAGTATCACTCATCTTGGATAACAGAAAAGGTATAGCAGCGATACATATGATTAAGGGCTCCGTTGATCTGTAGTGTTAATTCCACTTCGAAATGCGAAATCCAGTGGGATGCTACATGTTTTTCCTAAGCAGGCACCTGCTTCTCATTCCTAGCCCAATATCCTATTGGGCTCGTATCTCGCGCTAGAGAACCCTTCACAATGCCGCATGTCTGCCACACCATAACCCCGATTATATGCCTCACACATCAACACCCTTTCTGCGACGTAAAAGAATCCTGGCTTGCATGTCAGGATACATATCTCCGTCCACAGTAAAATTCTTCGGGCGTGGTGGACATTGTCCTGATGGGAACTTCCAGTCATACAACAGCAGGAGTTGCGAGAGCACTAGTTTGATCTCATTGGCGACAAAAGATCTTCCCGGACAAGCATATTTCCCGTAACCAAACGCCATGTGCTCGGCATCACTCATGGCAAAGGTATACCGCTGGGTATTTTGAAGGTCTTTACGCAACTTTACATAACGATAGGGATCGAAAGTTGCTGGATCCCCACCAGGGACCCGTAACGGGTCGTTAAGGATTGCGTTCTGTGGTACTGCGATGCGGGTACCGGCTGGGAGATGCACTCCATTTGACAGAGTGAGGGCTTTTGGAAGGATACGGTTGAAGGTCATGAGAAAAACGGGACTTTGTCGCTGCGATTCTTTGAGCAGGCTGTCAAAAAGGTGAAGTTCGTCAAGTGCGGCCTTGGTCCAGCTGCTGCCCTGCGACTGAGGCCCTTGAAGGGCGTTGAGAATTTCGGCACGAATCTCAGGGATGAGTTCAGGTCGAGCGCACAAGTCGTAGAGTGCTTGGGCCATTGTCAATGCTGTTGTATGAATCGCCGTCAAACTCAAAATTAGAGTCAGTTGGGCCAGATTTTCAATCTTCCGCTCTTTGGCATTCGCCGCTTCGAGTAACCATTGCAGGACATCTTGGTGAGCTGTTGGCGCATCGATCCTTTCGCGCTCTGCGACCAGTTCTCCAACGATACGCACAGCGTCTTTAACGTTGCGATGAAGCTGTCGATATGTCGGTAGCATCGGAGCAATGACTGGGCGTAGAATCTTTGGAACAAATCGCAAAATGGTCCCCGTGATAAATAGATTCTCTGTATATTGTGCCGTTGTTGAGAGCCAGTCTTCGTCACGACAACGATCCGGACCTATCCACACGCGTGCAACCAGCCGAGAAATTATACGTGGGAAGACAGTCATCAAGTCTAGCTCTATCCAGTCTTCACCATCGCAAGAGGGAAGCTCTTTCTGTAAAGCATATTGCAACTCATCCCGGACGATAGGAACCAAGGTGCTGAGATTTGGTGTCAATTTCGTCTGCAAGACGCGAGTCTGCACGTCGCTTGTCCCAAAGATGTTTCCTTCCGTCCAGTCTCCAGTGAAGTCGTCGAGAAAAGGCTTCACAGAGCGCACAGCATCATTTGTGAGGGCTCGAATCTCATTAAGAAGCTTGTTATCGCCAACGACAACCACGTCTGCTCCCACACGACGGAGCACGAACAAATCTCGATACTTGGCCAGTTTTTAGCGAGTTTCAATAATATATGCCAGTACTGGCCGGCCGGAAAATCCGCTTACCTTTTCGTATCCTTCCTTGATCATCGACCTACTCCCGCGGATGAAACGCAATCGTACAAGCCATTTGGGCTCCCAGAAGGTTCTATGTCCAACAACAGGAAGTCCAAGTTTGGTGCGATTTGTCCTGAGAGCGTATACCAAGTAAATGCATATAGTAGGTACTATAACGAAAGAAAGAAGAGAATGTCCATTTGCCAACGTTGGGGCCGTGATAGCTCGTATGTTGTCTAGTGTATAATTCATAGTTCTCTACTTGTTAGTTAGTAGAGTTGCAAGTAAGAATCTTTGGAAACTCAAATCGCTAAAAAGGTTGGAATAGCACTATCGCGAATAGCACCGTGCGCAAAAAGTGAAGAAAGCTAGGAGAAAGTAGACTAATACCTTCGGAGTCCGTAACTTTATTGCTGGGCTATATTAATCAAGTATCCTGTCGCGAATAGCACCATATTGACTAGCAAAGAAAGTAGAGGGGAACCAGACTAACAGCTTCGGAGTCCGAAGTCTTAGTGCCGGGCTATATTAACCAAGTGTTCTATCGCGAATAGCACCGTGGCCAATGGTACTATAGCGAATAGCACCGGACGCGAGGAAGTAGACTTTTGGCTCAATAAAAATAAAGTTCAGGAAACAGTGCTACATATGGAACGATAAAGACGTTTGAGATATGGACTTATTGCTAATCAAACCCAAAAACATCATTCACTCAGATAGCGCTTTGGTTTGCCTTCTCGTAGTCGGGCTCAGATACCTCCTCATGCCATTTGCAATCTAGATAACATATTAGTACCTTAGATTTATATAACCAAGTGAATAACTAACCACCTAACGAAATTGCTGTATGAACCATAACCGTATTTCCAGTAGCACCATGCCAATGCTTTTCTCCGCCTGGAATATGGACTACATCTCCAACCTGTAATCTTCTAGGCTCCTGACCTTCAGAACATATAAGTCCAGTCCCAGCAATAACCGTTAATATTTGGCCTTTTTCGTGGATATGCCAGTATGATCGAGCGCCGGGTGCGAAGCTGACGTTGCCACATGCGGTACCGTCTTTCGAAAAGAAAATTGGATCAAAGTAAACTGATCCAGTGAACGGCCCGCTTAGCTGTTTCGAAGAGGATTCGGGCAAATGTGACGATCGAATGAGCTGCATAGTGATTTGGTATTGTTTAGAAGATTGGAAATGAGAAGTAACGATTATGTTCGTAGAGAGGATTATCGTTAGTATTTTATTTTCTTCTATCGCATGTGCTAACCATGCCTTTATATAGTCTCTTGTCCCCCATTCTAGTTAGAATAGTTACACAAGGATTATCGGCACTATCGTGCACAGGGCAGAGTCTGGACCTTCACTTGCAACAGTTCGCTACGCGCGGATCATAACAGATTTGGTCTGAACCCAGTCCAGAAGTCCGGCCTCTCCGTTCTCGAGACCCACGCCGCTCTCTATCCCACAGGTTAGCAAGAAATAACTTATTGATGCAAAAAGGGTAAGACCTACGTTTCCATCCTCCATACGTGGTATGGAGGGACCAGGGCCCTTCGTTAACACCTACACAACCCGCTTCGAGCAGATTGGTAAACCGAAAGGCTCTTCCAAGATCTTTCGTCCAGACGTACGCACGAAGCCCATATTCAGTATCATTCGCGAGTCTCAAAATCTCGTCGTCGTCTTCGAAGGGAAGAACCACCAGCACAGGCCCAAATATTTCCTCTCTTAGAATTCGAGCATCTGGAAGAGGATCCACAAATATCGCCGGCCGCAAAAAGCAGCCTGGACCTTGAATAGGCTCTCCACCACGGAGCAGGGTTGCCTCTTTCTTTCCTTGCTCAATATACTGCAATACTCTTTCTCTTTGACGATGATGGAAGAGTGGTGAGCTCCATGTATCGGCCTTTAACGGATCTGAACCTAGGTTGTCGTCATAGCTTTGGACCAACGACTCAATCTTAGGGAGCATCTCCTTGAAGATTGACTTGTGTAAATAAACTCGCGTGCCCAATGTACAACCTTGTCCATTGAGCGCGAGGAACATCCCACAATGTCTCGCGGCCTTGTCGAGATCCGCGTCCGGGAAGACAATAATAGGCGACTTGCCGCTGAGCTGCAGGGTCACATTTTTAAGGTTGGAGCGAGCAGCTGCAATTTGAACCTCACGTCCTACAGCAAGAGAGCCAGTGAAGCTGATCTTGCGAATCTTCATGTGCTCGGCAAGAGCCCTGCCAACGGAGCCGTCTCCCGTGACACAGTTGATGACTCCAGGCGGTATTCCAGCTTCAGTAGCTAGCGATACAGCGAAAAGAGTGGAGAAAGGATTCAGCTCGCTGGCTTTCACCACTACTGCGTTACCGGCTGCTAGGGCTGCTGCAACTTTCATGCAGTAGCACACTAGAGGGCCGTTGAATGGGAGCACGACGGCGCAGATTCCATAAGGCTGTCGAATCATGTACTAGAAGAAATAGCCCATTAGTAAATGGTTTAATTGATGCCCTCAACTCTTGCTGGACGTGCGTGAACTTACTTGTACATGATCCTCTTCCCTTTCCACGACTCTGCTATCGAGAGCAAATGTCAAGCCCGCAAAATCTAGTGACACACTCCAGTCAGCATCAGAAACATAGCTTGCCCTAGAATTTACACCTACAAGTAAGTGCTTCTACAGCATGGTCAATTTCGAACATGCTAAATTTGCGGGTTTTCCCAACAAGTATAGCTTCAAGCCAGAAGATCTGCTCCGCATGCTCTCTAACCAATTTTCCATATCTTAGCAACGCATCTCGACGTTCGGCCTTTCAAAAGATACATTGTTAGTCAACCTCACCTCGCGTACAGAACTGGATTTCCCTTACCTTACTTAAGGACTGCCATTTCTTAAGACCCGTAGCCGCGCTTTCAACTGCATCTTCCACGTCGTCCTTGCCAGCCCATTGGAAATCTTACAAGACCAAATCAGTTCTTGCATAGTATTGGGAATGAGCAATCAATTGTGTCACCCACCTTCGCATATCACCTGATCATTTACAGCCGAGGCATAGGACTGTGTGTTGTTGCTCTTACTTGTCGTCCATCGTCCGTCAATGAAAAGTTTGCTAGGAATAGGGTACCGATTGAGATCGAACGAGATCGATGGTCTCGATGAACTGTTGCCGTGCTGGGGTATAGACATTCTACGGGTGCGATCAAGTTATGCAATACTTACCACAACTAGTGTTTCCTGGCTGTAGTATAAATATCCGCACACATCTTCTATTCGCGGATATTTTCAAGGCTCTGGACTCAGGACAACAATTCGGCCCCATTGTATTCTAGCGATGATCTCGGGACTAGAAGAACCTGCAGGGGTACCCTGCACCGTGATTGTGTCCATGAATCGTAATCTAACCACGCATTGAATCGAGGGTTAGAGTCGGCGGTTCTACGTCACAGCCTAACTGTTTTGTACCCTGTCGGCAATACTTATCAACTGAGTACCTGATCGCGAAGAGCAAAAGCGGCCAGGAGAAAGTAGACTAATAGCTTCGGGGTCCGTAATCGGAGTCCGTAATCTTAGTACTAAGCTATTTAACAAAGTTCCTTGTCGCAAATAGTAAAGAAAGCTGGGAAACGTAGACTAATGGCGTCGGAATCCGTAATCCTAGCGCCATGATAGGCTTGTCGCCCCGCTCGCTTAGTGATTTATTAGGTATAACTAGCTTGAACCTTGATCTTTGTAAGCGCAAATCTACAATGAAACCTCTTAAGAACATAGTAAACCAAGTATTACCATATCTTCTAGCTTATCTAGGCACTCTTAGTTCGCTCCGCAGTCTCGTTCACTGCACCTTCTGGCGCGTTAGGTTTAGATTGTTTACTTCCATATGTTGCATAATCTTGCTACGTACTGAATATTCTGTGGTCTCTACTATTGATATTGGAGATAGTAAATTGTCGATCTAATTTATTATGGGGTTTTGGGATAAGTTCTTGTGAAGACAGCACGCGTTTTTGTAGTAATTTCGACGCGTTGGTGGGAGACTTAGCAGTGTGGCTTACTTATGAAGCATATTTAGTAGGGTTGATAAGTAGATTATCAGAAGAGATTACTGGGGCTAATATAAGAACTAAGAAAGCTTAGTTTAAATGCGCTGTATAATAACTTCTTCGCTACCATACAAGCGCAATTACCGTAACCACACAGGCTATCCAAATAACTTATCTTTTCTGGGCTTTACTTGTAAATTATTCGTCCGATTTTTGCGCTTCAGCACTTTGCCTACATTTCAATCGCTAGATTAGCGCTCATCCTCATTCTGCAGCGATATCAAAGTATATAGAGAGTAAATAATTTATACACAACGGTTGCAGCAGTACTAGTTACCTCAACACTTGCACTCAACAACTTGTCCTACGATAGCTCCGGCTCTCATTTTACGTGGATTGACGCGACCCGATTTTGCTCGACATATCCTTGAGTACATACAACTGGTCATATAAACATGTGACATTTCCAAAGAGCTGCACAATGCGTAGTTTGCTGCGGCTGAAAGCTGCGTTCTGATCATCAGGATATGTGCGAAGCACTTCCTTCTCAAGCAAGCGAAGGCTGTGCTCATAGCAAGATTTCTCGTACTCTGCCATCGTGGTGAGCGCCTGCTTCTTCGCTGCTGGGTCGTTGGTGGCCATGCTGTGAAACTCGGGGAAGTGTACGCAGTTAACGTTAAGTTCGCATGAGTCCCTTGGGATTGAGCCAATATCGTTGTGCATACGACACATAGTGCTCATATGTCGTACCATGGCGGCCGCGAGGTATTTCTCCGTTGGCGTCGCGAACATCTCGATTCCATCCCCCATGGTTTGTGAAACCCAACAGCAAGCCCAAGCGAAAGAGTAGGCACAAGCAACGTGATCAGCAGATGTTGTTCGTACCCAGTGGAAGAATCGCTCTTCTGTTTTGTAGAGGTGGCCCTATCGTCTAGTGAGCTAAAATGCGTTTTTATGGACCAATACCAAGCAGGTCTTCATTTTTACATACCACATCTTCTACTTGGGAGGCAAATGCCGTGTTATCCTTGATTTGTGTTGCGTGTTCAAGTAAGAAATTCCTCAACTCGAACTCTAGATTTTTGCGATCCACGGCACTTGCTTTATAAACACGGTCATGGTGTAGCACGTGTGTAGAAAGACGTAAGAGAGCTTCGCAGATCTAGAAGAGGTCAATTAAATGTTATTCTAGAATGATGATGATAATTCATGGATCAATGGTACAAACCTCGTGATGTTCCAACGGTATATCAGCAATGTTAGGAGGTAAGAAAACTTTCGAAGTCTCTGATTCCTTGCCCAAAGTATTGCTTACAACGTAGTTGATAATGGAGTTTAACGAATCCGGGTTGTCGGAGAACGCTGGCGTAGCAAAAGCTTCGAAAAACTCGTCCGTTTGAAAGCCAAGTAGTGACATGACCATCATATCAAAGAGAAAGTTTGTGGGAACATAGACTTTCAATAGGTTGTTGCAGCCGATCCATGTAAACGGAATAAGGTTCAGATAACTGCCTTTGCTAAAATGGTTGTAATCATCCCGTGCGAAGACATCCAGCTGTCGAGCTCTCAAAAGTGGTATAAAGAGTGAGGACTCTACCAACGAAGCCAGAATATGCCATTCCGGCAAGGAGGAGAAAAGTTTTGTCTGCTTTAGAAGCGATGCATATTGGCCGATCTGTGGAACATCGGAGTTGACGAGCAAAGACTGACCAACACCCTCAAATTTTTCGATTGGCTGTGAGACCCGGTATGCGGCTAGAACGTAGGCTTCCGAGACAAATTTGACAGAGTACTTGGTTTTCGATGTCCAGGAGCTCGATAGTGTGCGTACACCACATATATCCAAGTAAGCAATTCCATGGTCAATAGAGCTCTGCAGTTGAGATTGGAAGTCTGTCGACTTGTTAGAAATGCTCTTCGAAGTCTTGAGAAAATGAATATCCGCTTCATGTATAGAATTGTACCTTTGAAAATCCACAGTTGACGTGTTTCTGCCAGAGTCAAGATAGCAAAAGCAGTATCATCAGCAGAATGTCCCCATGAACCATCAGACCCTTGCTCATGTAATGTACGTATGCATGCCTGGAACAAACATATCGAGACTTTCAATACGAGCTCTTGGTCCGCAGGAGCGAAGGTGTGGTCACCTTCAAGACTACGTAGGAAAGCTACCAATGCTTGCACCATCAACATTGCCGGATAGAAATGGCTTAAATGCTGCGTTTTCGTAAGTATGCAATTTTTGTTGTAAGGATTCATGACTCACCCATTTGTCTCTAGGCAATCCATCAGACTTCCACCAAAACTCTATAATGAAGTCTACCGTCTTGCGGATTTGCGAAGCATAGCTTTGTCTGAAATCATCTTGCAAGAGCGCTAGCAGAACGTGGCAATTCGAGCTCCAGCTTCGGTCGCGCTCACCAGCAAATGTGCAAAAAGCATCTTCTTTCTCGAACAACTTTACCATAGCAGCCGGTGTAAGCCCTTCAAGTTGGCCCAGATGACTCAGAGCAAGGAGACCTTTGGCCGTGTCATCGACGTCAACAGCACGCTGTACTAATTTAGCTCTAAATTCTTCTCATTTACCATGCTCGTGAAGATTAGCGACTTACGGGTGCTGTAAGGGTTAGTTACTTGATCTGTTGCGGAAAGATTGTGGAGTCTCACCAAAACCAATAATTCCACCATCTTCAGCAAAGCCATTTCGAATGACGCTTGCAATATCATTCACAACGGGTCCAAGATCAGAGACTTTGTACCCAGCGTGTAACAGCGTTGCTAAGGTCCAGTTGAATTCGAAGTAGTGAATGGGAAAGGTGCCCGAAACTCCGCCATCGCCATGACCCATGCCCGATTTTATAACATGTCGGAGGTAGGCCTCAGCTTCATTGTCCCAGTTTGTAGAGTTTATCAGATAAGCGGCAGTCGAGGAGGGTGAGGCCATCATAGACCCATTATATAGGTGGTGCGAGACTTTATCGAAGTCAATCCGTCCGACAAAAGCTTCAAGCGAATGGACAGCTGACGATGGACGCGTGCTGTAGAGCATTTCCGGTCGAAAACGGGAGGATTTCTCTTCATACATTCTTGTAAGTGCGTCTTGGCCCTGAAACTTAAACTGCAATCGACTGTCTTCCCCGCGGAGATAGTTGAGTAATGCAGGCACGATCAGTTCTACTCCAATGTGATTCGTGGATACCAAATCATTCCAAGCGTTCAACTGTCTGTCGAGGGCCTGAGTAGCACGAGATATCCGACTGTCGAGGTCGCTACTGGAGTAATCATGAATTTGCAGTGGCTTTGAAGCGTGTTTAAGGATAGCTAGTAAAGCAGCTGCGGTATCTAGAATGCCAGCCGTTTGAGACACAGGATCGGTCCCCCAGCTACCATCACTACTCTGTGTTCGGAGGAGATAATGGAAGCATTCAGGGTATAACCATGTCTCATCTGCACCTGTTGTCTTCTTGACCTACAAGATGCTGTGAGAAGAAGCGTTTGAATTATTGGGATGGAAACGCAGATGTTTTCACATACCATTGAAACCCAAGCGGTGTCGTACACCTGGCAACTTGCAGTCGAAAAACCATACTTAGTGTCGAAAGATGCGAATGCCCGTTCGACTAGCCCTCGAGCCAATGCAGGCGTTACCCGTGCCTGGTTTGAGTGGAAACCATTAGTTGAGGATTCTGCCACAGGCAAACTTTCAGAAAGTGCCTTGGCCATCATGTGTAAAGAGAAAGTATGCCAGAGTGTTTAAGTTCGTTCCTAGTACGGAGTGGCAGATAGTAACACGAAACTTAATTCAAGTTTATGGGCATATGATAAGCATGTGAGTGTATTGATTAAAGATTTCTCACTGCTAGCTCTGCATGCTGCTAGGATTTATATGCTTTATAGGAACGGAGGCGGGCCTTAACATCCGAACCCTATTGCGAGTGAAGCGGTGTGGGAGTTTCTGAATACTTCAAAGTCTCGAGCTAACGCAGAAGAACAAGTGCGACAACAAACTCTTAGCCGAGGTAGTAAAAAGCCCCTTCAACACACGTAACCCTGGTAGAGAATAGCATCTTCGGCTGTTGACGGGCGTGTAGTTAGATTCCGGTACTAAGATTACGGATTCCGAAGCTGTTAGTCTACTTCCTAGCTCCCTTTGCTATCCGCGATAAGGTTACGGACTCCGAAGCTGTTGATATATTTTCTCTTAGACTCCTTTGGTGTTCCCCATATAATTACGGATCCCGAACCCATTGAGCTAATTAATGTAAAGGTTTCCACTAGTCGTCCATTCATGCACCACCCCTGTATATAACCCTGACTCTAACCGCTACCCAAGCTTGGGTATGCCTAGCCCATTTATCAACGTACCTAGTATTTACTCTAAAGTGGCTAGGCTGTTACCTAATATCGTGGAATCTAGCTTGCACGCTAATTCTTAGGAAAGAAGCTAAGGTATGTGACTTTGTAAACTACTTCATCCAGTACTCAAGTATCATCAAAGTTATTCCACTCGCCACATTACCATACTTTTCTTGCTTAAATCTACATTCTGTCGCTTTATAATTGAAGCTGATAAACGTCAATGCTAGAATAGAAGTTATTCAAGCCCGTACCCTACCACTTGACTTGACCTCTACATACTGTCAGGTTTTAACTATGGAACAAAGTACACATATCGACGACCCGATTAACTTTGACAGCAAATTTCCTGTACGAAATCTCGCTACTGTGAATTTAGCAGGTCCGAACAACTTGTCCAACGTCGTGCGTTTGACCTCAGCTCTGAAAAGTACTGTAATCTACGCAACGCTTATCGTAGGTCTCGAATACTGCGCTTCTGATCGCACCGTAGATAACAAATTATTTAAAGATAGTCTTATACTATGGCATTCTCGCTATATACAACATCTACCTTCACCCGCTTCGAAAGTTTCCAGGCCCCAAATTGAGAGCTGCGTCGGACTGGCCGTATGTTGTTTCCCTACTGCGAGGCACCTCACCGCAGGACATGCTGGAAATGCATAAGAGATATGGCCGAGTAGTGCGTGTAGCGCCCAACGAACTCACCTTCGTTAGTCCTGCAGCCTGGACAGAAATTTATGGACAGAAAAGACGCGGTCAGGACGAGCTCGTTAAGGATAAGAAGTATTATTCAGGAATGGGTGAGCCGACACTACTTCATTCAAACCAGGAACAGCATGCCCATCTTCGGAAACTGCTAGCACATGGTTTCTCTAATTCTTCGTTGCAAAAGCAGGAAGCTGTAATCCAGAAGTATCTTGATATCTTGATGAATACCCTCAGACACCAGTGTCAAGATGGGCAGTCTGTTTTAGACCTCAAGGACTGGGTCAATGTGGGTTAAGGAGATATTATCAGAATGGTTGTCGTATTGACTAACAATGATTTGCAGTTTTTTGTGTTCGATGTAATTGCATATTTGAGTATGTCACAAACAAGACTCTTTACTCAAACAGTGACCAAGTCTAACGACACCCAGCATACGGACAATCTTTCAATTGTCTAGAGTCGCGCAATGTGCACTCTTGGATCGAACTAGTCCCCAAGCTCGCTAGATTCATGGCTCTTATGCAAGCAGCACAGCGGCTACCAATCTTCATCAAACCTCTATTCTTGCTCTACGGTATCAGTACGAATCTGCGGTCGAATGTGAGAACCATTCAAGCAATTAGCAAGGTACATAACTTCAAATCTTTGCACAGGATGCTGTATCACTAATACCTACACTCCCATTATAGGAAAAAGTGGATTACCGCCTAAACTCACGACCAATGGTTCCAGATTTTATGGAAAAGCTGATTGACGAATATAAAGATGGCAGAATGACCATGTACCAACTCGACTCCAACGCTTCTTTCCTTATGGCAGCAGGAAGTGAAACACTAGCGACAGTTCTCACACATGCAGTCTTCCAGCTTCTAACAAATCCAAGGACGCTAGAGAAGCTTACGGCAGAAATCCGCACTAAATTCACATGCTCAGCAGAGATAACTATGTCCAGCGTCAATGAGTGCAAATACCTACTAGGTTGTGTTGAAGAGACTATGAGGATTCAAGCGCCTTCTCCCGCCACACATCCTCGATACACAAATGCTACTGGCGCAGTGATCGATGGGTTTCAGGTGCCAGGGAATGTGGCAGTCGGAATCCCCATTTACGCGGCGTGCAAAAGTGCCCTCAATTTCTACGATGCGGAGAGCTATATTCCTGAGAGATGGACTGGAGAAGATCCGCTCTATAGTCACGACCTCAGGGAAGCTGCGCGAGTGTTTTCACTTGGACCACGTGATTGTAGGTTGCTTTGTTCAAAATCACCTCTCCTTCTATTGATCGATAAACATGTACTAAATGTGACTTTTACAGGCCTCGGGCGGAACTTGGCATATGCTGAGCTGAAATTGGTGATTGCGCGATTGGTGTGGCATTTCAACTTGGAAGCATGCTTCGACGCGAACTGGTCAGACCAAAAGGTCTATATGGTCTGGGAGAAGCCACCTTTCATGGTGAAGCTGGTGCCGGTGCAGAGCAGCTGGGCAACCTGATTCCACAATGGTTCATAGGGATTATTTCAAGCTATTTTTGCTGCGGATTGCTCCTTGCCTGCATAAGCCGGGAATCTTAATTAAAGAATGGGAAACCGCAACCATAACTGAACGGTGCTGGGGTTACCATTCGATGAGAGTATGTAAGTTGTTTGCTAATTTCTACAAAGTAGGATAGCCTCAAATGCTCTTCTTCTCTTTATCCCAACTGTGCATAACATCTTGACTAGGTAGTTGGGACACTATCTTAACAGATCGTTCTACTGAGCTTAACATGCCAGCTTTTCGCTTCATGCCTGAAATTGAAAGTCTTGACGCAGCGCACGCAATTGTAGAAGTCGCGGATAATCGAATCACCCTATATTTTGTGCCTGCGTGATCACTTGAAGCTGCCTCCTCACGCTCACCAAGCTTAGTTATGTGAGAGTTGTTTGCATGTAGTAATTTGATATACATGGAAATGAATGCTTCTGGACGTTATGTAGGGCGGAGCTGCTTCTCTTAAGTCAGCCCAGATTGGAGCGAGTTGACTAAATGCAGTAGTCCGAGAAATTGTTATAGGTTACAAGAAAGTTTCTCTCCTTGACGAGGGGACGCGAGGTTGAGGGGTAACCAATATATTATATATCTCAGTCAAATCTAATCTTATTAATCTTATTGTGTCATTGGGGCTCGGTTGTGCAGAGCGTCACTTTGGGCTTTAAGGGATGCTCAGCTTATTACTGTTCTCGTACACTAGCCTTCTAGCGCTCTTAGCTTCTGATACACACCCTTCCAAGCTTTAACAGGAAGGTCGAAATAAATCCACCAGGTCCCGCCTGCGTCTTTGCCCAGGACACTTCCTGCATTTCTTCCAGGCTGTTATGGATGATCAGCATCGAAAAGTAACATATTCCGGTTGACCAACTTACTATACCGTTCAGCTGATGAGTCAGGTGAATATACGACGGTCTTCCCACCTGATTCCTCCTTCTATCATTGGGAAGACCTTGTCGAACAACAGCGCACGAAAAGTCGAGGTCGAAGAAACCAAGACTATTTCTGTAATACCAGGTCTTAGTTGTGCCCAGAAAGAAGTTGAGGTGGATTAAGACTCACGATTGAGAGAGAACTAGCGGCAACATATTCCACGGCCCTGCAAGCGGCTGGCGGCCATAGAAGTCCATCAAAGTCAACTGTGCTTTCACTTGCTCAGTGGTTCGCTGCTGTTGGATAGCTCGCCGTATTCGAAGTGCAATACTGCCCAACGGTATTGTTGCGAGTTCGTGGGCTGTCAGGAACGCGAAGGCGGTACTGACAGCATTCCCTACAAAAGTGCCGCTTGGAAGGTCCTTTTCCAGAGCCTTTCTTAGGTTCAGCGCGGTCCCGATTGCGACAGGACGCGAAACAGCCAGATTTTGTGAGGACACCACTGTGCGTGCCCACCAAGCCAACAGAACATCCCCATTACTCACAAATACAGCATCGCCTCCCTTGCGTTCCTTACTCAAGTCTGCAACAGCCTCTTGCTTCAGTTTCTGCAAGAATCGATCTGGGATTTGAAGGATTCGAGGCTCAGATTTTGGCTGCAGTATAAGGTCAAATATCGTCCTAAGCACGAAGAAAAATAGTCGATAGCCAGTCAGCATTTGAGATCTCAGAACGTATCGCTCTCCAGGAACTTCTCCAATCAACAGACTCATAGGATCGTGATCGAAGCCGACGAACTCTGGAATTGCGAGGCCATTCAGCTCAGCAAGCCATGCATTCATGAATGCCGCTCTTCCTATACCGTCAAATACACAATGGGGCCAGCTGATAGAAAGAATAGTGGCATCTTGGAAGGATAGAATCTAGACAAAAAACTGTTCAGAATCAATGCAAGCGTGATATGAACGATGCGATACCAAGTAGATACGTACTTTGAACGACAATGGAGGATTATCGCTGTTGAGCCAATCTGCCAGCTTTCTTGGACGGCCTGAATGGTGCAAAAACGACTGCATAAGATGCGGATCCTCATGGATCTTTGGCGTGTGACTTGCTCTCGGAAGCTGTGAAGCCTTTGGATGTTCAGCTATGCTCTGCTCGAACTTTTCATGCAACCATAAAAAAGGGGGTCGTTTGTCGTCATATTTACAAGGGAGAATGTATTCAAGCTTCTTTTGTTTCTAGATACGATCAACAAAACGTAACGGAGTAGAAGGAACACCGCTTTGAGAACTTGCATTCTGGCGGATCCTGGCGCCGAGTTTTTTCCAACCGTCTCGTTGCATCAGACGGTGCAAGGCCAATCGGAGTCGATTGACGTCGAGAACATCGTCAAAACGATAACTAGCCTCCATGACGACATTGCGGTTGACATACCCATCGTCTAGTGCATGGAATGGAATGACTTGGTCTGTTGGTACTCGGGCGGAGAGTTCTCCCTTTGATTTCCAGAGTCTGTTAATTGTTGCGCTTGAGTAACTTGCTTTCGTTGGAGGTAGAGCGCTTGAGGAGCTGTAGAAAGATTGAAGGCCTTGTAATAGGAATGGCCTTGCGACCCTAGTAACAATCATAATAGCATTGTACGCGAAGTGCTCTACGTGGGAATAGAGATTGGAAGAAGTAAAGAATTTCACTGTAGTAGTAACTGTGTAGTACGATTCGGGCCGGTTATGAGAGGCGTACCGCCGCACCGTGACGCTAATACTTTAATTACGGACTCCGAAGTTGTTAGTTTACTTCCGCGCTGTGACACTAGCACGACGATTACGGACTCCGACGGCGTTATTCTACTTCTTCTTTGTGTTTTATCATTTAAGATCCCTACCAGTTAGAGCTCTCTGATTATTGGAACAAGTTTTTACGAATACAGACATGGGGCAGTTGAAAGCCCGGCAGTATTATTTGAGTACGGTGATTCGACGATACGAATCCACAGATGGAACTAACGAGTCACCGGTAGCATTGCTAACTTTAGCTCTTGCGTTAGTCTGTGGTGAACTTACCCTTCATAAATAGATTGATATTACGGACTTGCAACGGCGGAACAGGACGCTCGAGGCATCACGCATAGCTACAGCATTAAAATAACCCTACAACTTCCCACGGTTGAGAAACCATTGCTTCTTGAATCCGCCTCCCAAAAGATAATGGCCTTAAAATCATTTTTTGTCACCTCTGAGCTACAACTTACGCCAGCCATCAGTATCGCTATTGCTGGTATCATCTTATATTACGTCTTATCCAAATCTGGACAACGGCCATTTCCAGACATACCCATTGCCTCGCTCGAAAAAGGCCTGTGGAGATGTCTTCCACGACAATTGAAGCCCCCCGAATTTCTGCGCTACGGCAACTCTCTCATGCAGGAAGGTCGGCGCATGACGACAGGCTGCTTCCAAGTGCATTCGGGAGCAGGCTTCAAAATTGTCGTGCCTAATCGCTTCTCCCACGAACTGCGTAATCACCCTGCCCTCAGCCTCTCCAAGGGCCAGAAGAAAGAATTTCCCACGCAGTATGCGGGCTTTGAAGGCATGAGAGAGGGGTTGAGAGATGATAGGTTGATGCTGGATGTCATCAATGCCAAGCTCACGCCGAGTTTAGGGTTTTTGACCGGACTTCTTGTGCACGAGACTTCGCGTGCTGTCGAACATACTTTGGGGGAGAAAAGCGACTGGGAGAGCTTCGACATTAAGGATATTTCGATAGATATCGCCGCTCGCGTGTCGGGGCATGTTTTTGTTGGAGAACAACTCGCTAGAAACGATAACTGGCTTGCTATATCGAAAGAGTATACCATACGAATATTTGGAAATGGTGTTGTGCTGAACTTTTTCCCGACTTTCATTCGGGCGTTCATGTATCAGATCCTTCCGCCTTGTCGACAATTGCGAAAGCAGGTTCAGGACGCTCGAAAACTCCTAGAGCCAGAAGCTCAAAAGATAATAAATCAGCGGAAAGAGGGTAGTAACAAGGCGGGAAAATTAACGGAGAATGCTGCCAGCAATTGCTTTGCCTGGATGCTCGACGTAGCCAAAGGTAGGCCATTGGATTTCACCGGCGGCCAGCTTTTGCTCAGTCTCGCTGCGATGAACACTACAACCGAGGTAATAACTCGTTGCCTACTACAAATTTGCGATACACCAGAAATATTACAGCCATTGCGCGGTGAGCTCATTGAGGTCTTGACGGAACATGGGTGGACGAGGTCGGCGCTGCAGAGGCTCAGACTAATGGATTCGTTTCTCCGAGAAGTGCTACGTGTTCACCCATTAGCTTCAGGTATGCATACAAAATCCATGCGATGGAACATACAAAATGTTCTCTACTAAATGTTCTCGATAGCGCCCATGACACGCTATGTCTCCAAAACCATCACCCTCTCTGACGGAACTACTCTCCCCGCTGGAGGTCTCATCTTAATCTCCGACGACCACACGAGAGGCGCAAGCGCATTCTCTAATCCCGAGACTTTCGATGTTTACAGATTCCATCGTCGACATGAACAAACCAGCAAAGAAAGCGGGCTCCATTTCGTCACGACGTCGGCGGAGCATCTCCAGTTCGGTCATGGTCAACATGCGTGTCCAGGTACGTAGATTCAGGACTCACAACCTCACAATTTCTCTCTTCAACACATGCGTGGGGTCTAATTGATTATACATAGGTCGATTCTTCGTCTCAGATCAGCTGAAAGTCTTGATAGCATTTTATATCCTAAAGTATGATTTCCGCTATGAGCCAGGAACAAGTCGACTACCTGTTATCGAGTACGAGCAGCATTTCATTGCCAATCCAGCGAATAAAATTCAAGCGAAGAGAAGACGAGAGGAATTAGACTTGCTGAGCCCAAAGGTTTTGTAAATATCTGACTAGCAATATCTCAGTGCTGCATAAAGCGTGTTTCCTTCACCGGTCGACCCATGTAATAATCTTAGCATATCCACGTTGGGCAATAGGTTTGGGATCGTAGGTACGTTTTCTTGTTAACAACATGCGTGAGTGGAAGGTAGCGAAAACGCCACGCCGTTCTTCACTGCATGCTTGTATGGGTTCGAATTTGCCATCGAAACTCAGTCTAAAATGTCATCTTTTGACGTCAACCAAAAATGTGTGTGGACATACTGGTCTTTACCGGGCCTCAGTTGCAGGTCAAATCCGTGTGGTGGATAGTCTACTGGAGCTAGGCGCTGATCTCATAATTGAAGGTGGACGTAATACTACTCCACTGCAAGCTGCATGTGCCAACGGCCATGGACACATTGCGCAGCTCATCATTGACTTCCCATCGCAAACCCTCACAGCTGACATGATCACCTCGGCTATATAAGCAGCTTTACGCAACGTTCATGAGGACGTCGCAGTGATTGTCTTGAAAAAGAGTGCATTGCCGATATCGCAAGACGCCCTTGACCAAGTGTTTGAAGCTGCGGCAGGCATGTGTTTCGCAGCACTCATGGACTGCCTCTGGAAGATTTATGAGGGTGCATCTAGAATCAAACACGGCGACTTCATTTCCTACCTCAAATACCTAAACATGGCACTAGCATGATGATGACTTAGCATTTTATACTTGAGGTACTTGGAAAAGCAAATAACTTATCAATATAGAATATTTGTTATTCTGTACAATTTATTCAATTTTCTTCTTCTCTATGTAGTGGACTCCTTACTAGAACTACCATCACTATCCGAGTCTGTGTGGTCGTCATCGGTGTCCGGGTCTTGGTTAGCTGAGTCGGGCTGAGCATCCGGCTCGTCTTCAAACTCCTGGCCCATGGTATTCCATTCGTGATGTGGATGCAGCACATGTCTGTTGGCGTAGCATTTGTAGCAAAAATCGAAATTATAGCAGTCTCTGCACTTGTAGCGGAAGCCGCTGACCTTCTGTAGCTAGGCATGAGTGTCTTTGTATAAAAAAAAAGAAGGACTAAACTTACGTAGAGACAACCATCGCAGTAACAATACGGCCATATATCAAAGGCCTTTTTTGACTGGTGAGAAATTTGATCCCATGCCATGCTGTTGTTATTGACGTTGTTCTGGGGCGTTAACAGGTGCAAAGTCTCTTGCTTGGCACCATGATAGTTGGCCAGCTTGAGGGGTGACGATTGCTTGCCATCAGGCCCAACGGTGAGGGCGCAGATATCAGCGCCCTGGTCAATGAGGAAGGCGACAAATTCATGCTTGCGTTGTTCCCGCATGTCCTGGTCGACGAGGTCGGAGAAGCGGTGGTAGGTGCCCCTAGCGGCGTAGTGCAGCGGAGTCCAGCCGTCGGCATCGGGTTCATGGAGCAGGCTATCGGTAGCCTGCAGCACACAGTGGAGCAGATCCAGGTTCCCACTCACGACGGCGAAATGCACAAGCGTGCGACCGGCGTTGTCACGTGTGTAGAGATTGGCGTTGGCGTCACGCAGGACGGCAAAGTTGGCCGTGGTGGGTCCAACAGCGGCGAGGTGAATGGGGTAGCGGCCGGCCTGGTCGCACGTGTCCGTCGTCGCGCCGAGACGGAGCAGGAACTGCAGGACTGGAGCGGTGGAGTAGTAGCTAGCGGCGGCAAGGGCCGACCCGTGGAGCCCGCCGGTAGCGTTGACATCGAATGTACTGGTGGTGTCGGAAACGAGGCATTGCAGGACATCAAGAATAGTGCGCTCTGCATCCTCTCGATGCAAACCGACAGCCAACGAGCGGCGGCAGGCGGCCTGGGCGGGTGAGCCATAGTAGGAGGCGATGAGGTTGACATTGGCGCCAGCGTCAACCAGGAGGCGGACGGCGGCGGGAGAGCCCTTGGAGCAGGCCAGGTGCAGCGGGGCGTCGGTGTTGCGGGCAGGGATGTTGGCATTGGCGCCGCGCTTGAGCAGGAAGCGCACAATGTCGAGCTTGTCCTTGTCAATGGCCTTGTGCAGTGGCGTCAAGCCGGCCGCGTTGGTGGTATCAATGTTGCTGCCGGCATAGACGAGGAGCTTGACGTCGGCCAGCAGGACTGTGTCGCGTTCCAGGGCGGCGTTGAGGGCCGTGTCGTTGTCGCGGTCGGTCAGGGCAAGATCGGGCTGGAACTCGAGCACCATGCGCAGCAGCTCCGTCGTGTAGATGTATAAGACGGGATGGATGCCGCTTGTCGGCTTGATGCTGAAGTCGGCGCCGGCCTCGAGCAGTACGCTGGCCGTGTCGCCATAGCCGGCCTTGAGCGCAGCGAGCAGCGGCGTGAAGCCGGACAGCAGCTCGACGTCGGCATCGTCAGCGGCAGCGGCGGGCCGATAGGGCAGGTTGAGGTCAGCATGGTGCTCGGCCAGCACCGCCACCACGTCCGTCTGGCCCCATTCGGCCGCGAGGAACAGCGGCGAGCGCCCGCTCTCGCCCACGACTTCATCGACCGAGGCACCTTGGTCGACCAATAGGCGCGTCACGGCGGCACTCTTGTACGCGCCATGCAGCGGCGTCCACACACTGTTGCACACCTCATTCACCCGCGCGCCTTTGTCCAGCAGCAGCCGCACCATGTCGCCGTCACCTGCCAGGCACGCGCCAAACAGCGGCGAGCTCTCGTTGGTGCGCAGATTGACGTCGGCGCCCTGGCCCACCAGCCACTCCACCATGGCCAGCCCGCCCGCCTGCGCCACAGCCATCTGCAGCGCCGTCGCCGTCTGCTCGTCGTGCCGCTTGTTCACATCCGCCCCATGCTCCACCAGCAGCTTCGCCATGTCGAGCCGCTTGGCTTTGACGGCAAACATCAGCGGCGTGCCGCCTGAGCATTCGTGGTTCGCGTCGCTCTTGAACAAAAGCAGCTCTTGAACACACCGCCACGCGCCTTCTTGGATCGCCGTGTGCAGCGGCGGCCACATCTCATCGTCGTCACGCCTCGTTTCCGTCTGCGCCCCGTGTTCGAGGAGCACGCGTACCGTGGCGTGCGCGCCTATGCTACATGCACTGCTGAGGGCTACGCTGTCGTCTGCGTTGGGCGGAGCCCCCTTCTCGAGCAGCAGTCTGACCATGTCGGCATTTCCCCGCTGCGCCGCCGCATTCAGCACCGAATTGTTGTACTCGTCGCGCGCCGTCACAAGGCTTTCATCGTGCATGGCCAGCAGCTTGAACACCCCGGCGTAGCCATTGCGTGCTGCTAGGTACAGAGAGCATTGCCCAAACGGCGCTCCCTCGCTGCCATTGATGTCGGCACCCTCATCAACCAGAGCCTGCACAGTCTTGGCATGGCCATTCCATGCCGCCCGCCGGACGACAAAGGCCGGCCATGTGAATGATGGCACTCTCGTCTTGCCAATGTGCGACACAACCTTCACAAGCACATCCTCGTCTCCCCCCGAACAAGCTGCGTCGAGCACGTACTCGGCCGTTGCCCTGTCCAGTTCCACTGACCGTAACAAGTGGAGCACCAAACTGCCATGTCTATTTCTTGCCGCCTCGGCCACAGCATACGGAAGCCACAGCTTTTGCTCCGCCTCGGACATGTTGTTGTCTTGTATCCATCGCTCATATACATCCTCAAGGCCCATGGAAGCCACGAGCGGTAGGGGGCAAACATAGGTGCGATCCACCCGAGAAAATGGATTCGACATGAACCAGTGTGCCATCTGCCAACCCCGGAAAGCTGCCTTGCTCTTGAAAAACTCGACCACTTGCGTTATCAACCGGCTCTTGTTGGATGCAAGACGGTAATGCCGATTCCAATAGCACACAGCGTAAGTGGCTACATCTACCCGCGGTCCGACACATGGTGTTGACAGAATGCCATGTCGAACCTCACACAGCGTGTTCAAGCTATCATGGGCACCAGTGGTGCCAAGGAACGCAAGACAGACTTCTGCCATCATTTCGTGTGCATTGGCTTGGACATGATACCACTCCTCGCTGTCACACTGAAGAATCAGATTCTTTAGCTCTGCATGTTGGAAGCGCACCTCGTGCGGGTTGGAGAAATCAAAGATAGGGATGCCAATCAGCGCATTCATTGCCCCCATACCATCTGCATCTTGCGTCTGTTCAGATATGTCAAGTACTGAGCGCAGTTCGCCAATACTAAGCGGCCGGAAGGCAAATACGAGCCAGGTAATAGCCCTGGCCACGAGACTGCGCTTGGCTTCAGGTATGGCGCCCATAGCCTTCCGGAAAAGAATTCCCAAACTCACTTCTGGAAGTCTTTCCAAGGCGTTGGTGAGAGTATCTAAAGATGGGCTGTTCTGGACATCTTGAACGAGTAGCCGGGTCAGACCAATATCATTGCCGCATTTCCTCAAAAGATCGTCTCGGTATCTACCGATTGGTAGTGTTGATGCGTATCTGGCATTGAGCTGATGCAATGTGTAGTCAATCTCATCCCTGACACGGGGATCGACATCTTCGAGTGAGAATTCATCTTCGAGTACAATTGTCGGCGAGCCCTTCAGCCACTCATCGAGCGAGTCAATCGACTTGGTTATGATCAGGAATTTCCATCGCTTCTCCCGTGATTCGGACATTTCGGCTGCCAAACGCCAGAACGATGAGAGCTTGTCCGAGCATTCATCGACGTTGTCAAGCACAAACACCATCTCTCCACTGCTATAGAAGTATCGAATCCTGCTCAATAACACAAGAAAGTCGTTCTCGCCAAGAGTGCGCTGTTCCAGAAAGCGAGACATGTCATTTTGGAAGTCAAAGCTGGATTTGAGAACCTCCTCAGCCCTTACCCACTGTGCGGCTATGGCCGAAAGGAATGCCCATGTATCCTTGTACCGGTCATCACCCTCATCAAATGAGAAGTAGCTCCAAATTCCGCCATTTGACGAATTCTTCACAATCTCTTCGAAGACGGATCCAGAAAGCCCTGGCTTCGGCCTTTGCGCATGGATAATCAAAACATTAGAATCGGTGCTCGCCCGCCAGTTGATGTATTGTTGGTTGTTGGCCAGAGGGTTTCTCGGATACCGGTTGAAAACGACTGGTCGGACCGGAGGCGCCTGTGCCACAAGTGCGTTCATGTATGATGATACCTCTGCTCGTTCCATCACTCCCTGATCTGATCAATGTTAGTTCAATCATTGGCATCATTTTCCCTCCTTCAGCAGCTTTCATTCACCTTACCTAGCTTGAGCTGATCTTTAAATTCTTCAAATATTGATTTCCACTCCGAAATTTGCTCTGCGCAGGCTAAAGCTACATGTGGCTGAGGAAATTCGTATTTAAATTCAAATCCAGTCCCGAGTGTCGCGTCAAATTCATTGAAAATCTGGAAAGCTCAGAGTCAACTCGAGATGGTTCAGTAGTGCCATATGTACAGCATCTTACACATTCATTTAGGTCCGTGAGGGTAGATCGGACACTGAGGATCTCGGTGTTTAGAAGAATCTTGGACTCCACGAAAGCCAGGTTGCATTCGATGACGGCCCTTGCGAGGCTTTTGACATGAAGTAGCGAATTTCCCTTAGGTAATTTTGGACCCGAGAAGAAGAGCCGTGCAATCTTCTCTTCCATGTCCAAGACGCTATACCATCTGTGTGGGTAGCCGATGAATATCTGAGTTGCTGTAGTCAGCCAAGTACCACAAAATTGACTAGCCTCAAGGGGTTGAATACAATCCATTTGGTGGACTCGGCGATGTCGGCATATTCTGGATCCATGACGGATTGATACAAAGCCTACAAGCAGTCATTTGGCTGATACTTTCCATGTGAAGGGCCTTTGTTACTTGTTTGACAATCGTGCCTCCGATATCATGGCAAACGAAGACTATCGGGCGGAACGAATCCTACAAGAAGATTATCAATAAATGCGCGCCTGCGTCCCTCACTCTACCCCCTCCCAGAAAAGATATATACCTTGTCTTTTTCTTCCCTTGCCCCTGCAACCGCACGCAGCAACTTTGATGCCTCTTTAGTGATACCCTCTTTCGAAAGCGTCTTGAAAGCATCGTAACCATAGTTCATCAAACGGAAGCTCTGCTCGTACTGGAAGCCCGCCAGTCCAAGGACTGTATCTCTTTTTGATTCATCCCGCGCTTGCCAAGTTGTCTCGCGGTGGCCGTGAAGACCGTGGATAGTGACAACGCTGCTTAGTTAGAACATGGATATGCGCCCATCATGCAAAAGCCTCGCCAAATTGACCTACTCGAACTCGTTTTCAAATACAGAATATTTCCTGACATCAAGCCCATAGTCGCTGCTGCTTTCCTCCTCTTCCGCGACAACCGGGTCGATTACATCTGCAACGCTGCTCCGCCGCCCGTTGGCATCGGTGCCTGGCACGGGGTCAAAATCTTCAGCAGGAGAGGTGTCGTGCTCGTCGCTTGTTGTTGATGACGATGATGGTGATGTTGCCGAAGAATGGCCATCATCGTCTGATGCGATGCTGGCCATTTTCTCCCCGATCCAAATTCCGCGCGCAGAATGGGGGTCGTTGGTCCAACAGGCGTGATTGTGCTGGGAATCGCAACAGCGAAGCGCGAAGCGAGGGGCTGATGTGCGCCTCCAGGCTCAACTTTTGTCACTTGGTAGGAGTCATGCGTGCAGCGTGCAGCACAGCCGCACTTACACCTGTGGAACCTTATCTACATCCAGCCATGCCTAGGCGGGGGGCCGTTGGGGGCCGTTTGGGGCGGAAACTCGTCAGCGCGTGATGCCTAATGCAGGATCTAACTGGACCTACAGCACCCTAAGTTACTTCGAATTCGGCCCACAGCTGGAAGACCTGTTCGTGAGGGGAAATGGTCATGTAAGCGATTAATATGTCAGCATCCCCCCACTTTGAATGCGTAAAGAGCACATGGAGTCATTATCTAGTGGGTGATACAAGGAAGTCTGCGCCTGCCGGCACATCTCAACTTGGTTACTGCTGACGCCCCAAGCTGTGGCTGCTGGCAACGCCCCCCCCCCCCCCCCCACCACTTTCAGTACGATATATACTCAACACACCGATTTACGATTCCTGGCCTGCTTTCGATTACATGAAGCTCGTATTTCCGTCTCCCAATCTCCACGGTCACCATTAAACCACATAAATGGTATATGGGAACAGCTGCGGCTCCAGGTGTTGTATGTAGCTATTTCAGCGCTATTAATGATGAAAAAAAGTAAGAAGTATGGCAAGTATGCTCATAACGCAAATCATAACCCGAACTATGAACCAGATGTGTGTGATCATGCTAAAAATAGGAAACCCAAACAGTGCTACTGATGTATAGACAGGACTAGGAAAGAATCACTTGATACAGCCAACATGTTTTTGCAACCTTTAAACTTTGGTAAGGTCTTATCTAGTATTTACGTTGGATCTGTGCGTCAAACTGTTCTAAATATGCTTTACTGCAGAGTCAAGCACACTTTGGAAAGTCACGCCCGAGAGACTGCCCAGGTCCACAGATCCAAGTGCGGTGAGATCGTACGTCTGCAACTTGTTGGTAGGAGGCAGCTGTGGATCAAAGAGTAGAGGATCATCATTAGATCGTCCCCCAAACAGCCGTTGAAAGCTCCTCTCCATAGAACTTTTAGGGTCAACCTTGGCTTCTATCTTGAAATCGCAACGAAAAGGTTTCTTGTCCTGCCTTTTCAACAAGATTGCCGTACGCATTGTTGACGGTACGCCAGTCTTGGTAGTACTATTCTCAATAAGCGACCAAGATGCGCTGTCCGCGTTCCCATAAGTTCTTCCCAAAAGATCAATCGAACCGATCACTTTTGTCGCATCTGTGGTTTCTCGGTTGACGCTGCGTTCCCAGCCCAACTCCGCCCCCAACTCTACACCAACAAGCGGAGGTGCCCCCAGATTGACGCCCGCCGTGGTTTTCTTCTCTTCCGTCTGTGTCGTCTGAACCATAACCATACTATCGTAGGGTTCAATCTGAAACACTTCGGGCTCGGGGTCACCGTGTTTCTCAGGTGCAAACTGGAGGGTGATGTTCACAGCTAAAATGCGCCTTGCTGTCTTGCGGCTGTCGAACCGGAAGTTGAGAATAATCAGTGTCGCAAATTCGTCGGCATCGGGGCTTACGAGGCCATGAATCACGTCCAGACAGGTGCAGCGGATGTCCAATGCCCCTTTACGTTCGGTAACATTGGTACGCTGGTAAGGCGCTGACGGGTCGTTTTTGGTGCGAAATGAGCTGCCTTCGTCGCCGCCAGGACTTAACATAATATTAAAAACATCGTCGTCGTCATCGTCATCCTCGTACTCCTCTTCTGTTTGCACGAGGTCGTTGTTGGAAACTTGTGCCATGGTCGCGTTAAAATGCTTATGAAGGCCAAGGCTCCTTCCGGGAGGAAACAGAGATAAATATGTCAAATCAAGTCATAACTATACTTACAAAGGAAGCTGTGCTGTGTGGGGGCCGTTTTCCTAGTCATAAGCCCTATCACATCAGCTATGCCCCATTCCGAGGATTACCCCGCCGCTAAAGCGTAAGCACAATTTTGGCAGCTGTTTCGCCTGCTGCCTGCATCGGGCCAAGCTCTGCAGTGCGCCATCTAATGTGTGCATGCGCCCATTTCCCAGCCCATCTATCTGCTTGCCAGTAGGACAACAAAACTTCCATCATACCAGGCTGTATCCTGCCCGTCATGGAAAGCACAAACCTACAAGAACCTGATGAATTGGAGATAGCTGAGGAACATGATACTGACAAGGCTGCCGAAAGCGAGACTGACAAGGAGGGGGATTCCAGTGAGTCAGGAAGTGAGGATGAAGAAGAGCATGAACAAGACATCAAAGTCCAATTCGAGCGCATCATCGCCGGCTTCAGAGAAGGCAAGCTGAACGTCAAAACCATCACCAGCAAGTCGGACGAATACAACTACCTTGACCAAAGGACAAACGACCACAATCCGAGGAACATTTTGCACATGATTGTAGAGGCAGGAAAGGACAGTGCGAGTGCGCTGAAGCCGCTCGTGGAACATGTGATCAAGCAACATTGTCACCTCATGGAAGAAACGGACGGTGCGGGCACCACGCCACTGCAGGCGGCTATTATAGGCGGCATCACTAAACTCGTGGAGTACATGTGCGATGCCTGTAACGCCAAGGGGAATATTGATGTCGTTCTGGCGCTTTTGGACTCAAAGAATAACAATTGCCTTCATAAAGCCATGCTCAGCAAGCATAGATATGCGCGCAGAATTGCCCTCAAGCTCATCAAACGAGTGCGCGATCCTAAGACGCTGGAAGCCCAGAACAACGAATTCAAAACCCCACTTCATATTGCCGTCGAGTGGGAGCGCTGCACAGAATCGCAAATGGATGTCGTGCGCGCACTAGTTAACGCTTGCGACGCTGCTCTGAACGTCAACGTGGGCGCCGACGTCGATCCGTGTCGGCTCTCAGTGTATCGATACCACGAGAAGACGAGGCGAGCAGCGAAGAAGGCTGAAGCTGGGGCTAAAGACACAAGAGAAGAACGAAGCGGCAATAGGCCAAGCGACAAGACCGTAACCAGCAGCCGAAACGCGAAGGAAAGTTCTAAAAGTGTACCAGGAGGACAACAGGTGCCAAAAGCCCCAGATCAAATCCGTCCAGTCCCGACGTACCAGCTCAATCGCTCCAAGGAACAGCCGCAGGGCAAACACAAGGACCCAGCGGTTGAGCAGCAAGATCTTCCAATGCGAGGGATTCAGCGCCAGCCTACAAGGCTCGACACGACTGGCGCAAGAAGTACCCATGTGGATGAATCTAAGCCAGGCGGAAAATTATCTGTGGCAATGTCGCCTGCCCTATCCAAGGCACCGGCCTTGGGCACTAACAAGATATCGAAATATAAAGAAGTGGTCACAGAGGCGACGGCAAATGCAATTCGAGACTTCTTGAAGCTATATTATATGGGAACACAAGAAGATCATGAAAGTATTGTTTCATTTCTCTACGGACCAGTCCAAGGTAAGCCCATCAGTGGGGAAGAACATTGGATGAAACTAAAGGCGCGACAGAAAAGGAATTATACTGGTCATTGGCTGATGGGCCTCCCCTCGTTTCATTGCAGAGGCTGCAGAAGATGAATTACGTCAACTTCGAAGATACTCTCAAATACGTGTTGCTTCCCAACATCCGGGTAGACAAACCTCCAGCTGCGGTTTCCAAATTTCTCTCAAGGTCTACTACCAAGGATACGGGCAAAGGTCGTGATGACTACACGGTTATTTTTGACTGGCTTCGTAGCAAGGGCGTAAAGCGAATCTTCAATCTGTACATTGACGATAGCGAAGAGCCGTCTCATAGTGACGAGACCATTGAAAAAGCTCTTCAGGGAATTGAGGTGCTCAAGGTTTGGGATTGGCAGAGAACTGATCTCAGCTCCGAGGTCATAGCAAAAGCTGCCCCGAGTGTCAGTCAAGTGAACCTCTACTGGGGCGGAAACAATGCTGTTTTGCGCAGCTGGAGTGAGTCAGAGGGCCTCAACCAACTGAAAAAGCTTGACACAGTTGTGCTGTATGCGAATCAGGTGCGCATGTTCAGAGTCTAGAAAGGCTCAAACGCTGACTAGTATGCAGGGTTTGGAGACAAGAGCGAGGGAAAAACGAAACTTAGATGCATTTTGCGCAAGACTGAAGTACAACAGAAGCCTACTCATCGAAAGCGTCGAAAGCAAGCAATCCAAAGATTCCAAGAACCAAGAACCACTCCCACCGACAATCAAAGTCCAGCGAGATGCATTGCCTTTGAAGAAGACGGAATTCGGGGAGGGACTGACGGCCGCACAAGAGCAACATAAGGATCAACATAAGTGGCTAACGTGCATGGATGAGTTCGCAACCTTCATTCAGAACGTCGATCTGGATACTTCGCGCTTGAATGGCGTTGAGCCGAGGCCAATCACGGTAGCTCTCATCGACGATGGATTAGACATCAACGAGCAATCTGTAGTCGACAAAGTGATTGGAGGCCGCAGCTTCCGCAACCAAAATAATCTTAACGCGCCATACTGGGCAACTAGCGGCTTTCACGGCACCGTCATGGCGAGCCTGATCTGCAGAGTTTGTCCCAAGGTCCAGCTTTACGTTCTTCGGCTCGATGAGTATAGTGCCAAAGAGCAAGGGAAACGGCAAATCACAGCTAAGAGCGCCGAAAAGGTACGTTCAACACCCGTGAGCATATTCTATTGCACCAATTAACTAGTCGCCCTCCTAAAGGCCGTGCGCGCAGCTATCGACCGAGGCGTAGACATCATCTCTATGTCGTGGACGATTGAGAAGACGGTTGACAACGAAGCCGACATCAGGAAGCTCGAATTTGCTCTCGACGAAGCGGCTAAGAAGAACATTCTCCTCTTCTGCTCCGCCAACGACCAGGCTACCGACGCCGATGGGAGCCATCCAGCTGCCAACCCAACACGCTTCAAGATCGGTGCCGCGACAGCATGGGGCACCGCCTGGCGCTGGACTCGGGCCTCGCATGTCGACTTCATCTTCCCTGGCGACCGGGTCATCAAAGACCGGCCTGGCAATGTGCCATTTGAGAAGTGCAGCCTAGTCAGCGGCTCGAGCGTCGCGACAGCATTGGCGGCAGGTTTGGCTGCTCTGGTACTATATTGCGTGCAGTTTTCGGTCTATCATCGCAATGTGACGAATCAGCAGGGCAAGGGCATCACGTTGGAGGATTTCCAAGCTATGAAAACGCGTGATCGCATGGCGGAAGCGTTTCATGCAATCTATACCACCAAGGACAGCGATCATAAGTATATTGAGGTTTGGAATACTTTCGAGACGGCACCAAGGGAAGGTGAGGGTAAGGACAAGGATGCTAAACGTGACATCATCGTGACCGTGGCGAACAAACTGATTTCCAGGAGGAAATTAGTTTTTAGGTCTTGAAAGTTACTCCAGCTTCAGTCTTCAAACATGTATTTGTATGAAGATAGTTATCCGTGATTTATTAAAACCACGAAGTATAGTTAGCAGATAATAAAAACAGCAACGACGTGCAGCTATCCTCAGCTCCACCTATCGAAATCATCACGTAGCGTCAAGACGAGCTATATATCGGCGACGCGATCCTTATCCGAGGTGGCGCAATCGATACTTATCGGATCTAGCCGGATCTAGGGTTCTGGCGAATGTTTGCACACAGCTGGACGCCACAAGCTGCAGGAGTTTCAGCTCGAGCTGATGCCTAATCCACTGCCTGGGAGGTGCTGATAGCGATACTTCTCTAAATCCCCTCATCCTTCCTCAGTCACGGTCCGTATTACGTGAAAGCGTGACCGAGTATGATGCCGAGCGCAAGGGAAACGCGTACTTGGATCAGGAATCAACTTGTCAAGAACACTCAAAACCATAGCAGCTTCAACAACGACTATGTTCGATATCAAGACATCCAGCAAGTCTGGTCTGGCCACGACACCTTCAAGTGTGTCTTCCAGGCCATTTTGACGCCGGTACAAGTCGAGCTTATTATGGGACACTTGTTGCGATTCCTGTCAATCCTTGTTTTCATCCATGCTGACGATTTCTTGGACGGCTTCCCGGGCAGTTTTTTTAATAAGGGAGGAGACCTGTTGTATGACGACTCGAGCCTACCATTTAGGGGCAACCAAGTACCACCCTTTGGAGACCTTGCTCTTTGCCGAAACTTCTACAACTCCCAATTTCTGTTCACACCGGTGCGCCAAAGTACCTTTCCGTGTAGTGCATGGAATACTCACAAGAGATGCAGGTGCAGCTATTCGAGTCCCTAGACATAAAAACTATCGACGACCAGCGCCGACTTCCTTTCGAAGTAATTTCCGAAGGTGTCTTTGGGGGTGCATATGGAAAAGTCGACAAGAAAGGAATATCGCCATTCTATTTCAATACCTTGAATGGGAATCAGAATCACCAAGTAAGAATATTATCAGACACCCCTGAGGCTCCTTTAACAATAGCAGGTCAAGTTCGTCGCTTGCAAAACATTCCATCCCTCAAATCTCTCAGATCGCGAGACTAAGCGCGAGCTGGAGAACTTGCAAGTCTTGAAGAGTAGCAAAAGATCCCATGGTCACATCCGGACACATGAGGTGATTCTATTTTACAGGGAGGAACATCACATTCTATTGCCATGGGCCGACCACCTTGACCTCGACTTCTTCCTTCGTGAAGGCTACTCATATTCGGGCGAAGCACTATACGTCTTCAAGTTACTCTTCCCAAAAATCAAGTCAGCAACAATACTCCGAGATATATGCGATCAAATGTATTACATTTCCGATGCCCTTGAATGGCTTCATAAGGGCTTTGCGGTGAACCCTCAAAGGCACTTTCACTTTGCGCATATGGACTTGAAGCCAAATAATATTCTCATTGATAGGGAAGAGAATTCGTCTGTAGGAAAGTGGATACTCACAGATTTTGGCATCTCAACCTTTACGGAAGATGACGAGGCAGCCTCTGCCGACCTTGGGTCATTTGAAAATCTTACATTCAGAGCGACTCCTGCTCGTCCGCCAGGAGCTTATCAACCTCCAGAGACAGAAAAGACGGACCAAAGAAGCGCAGGAAGAAGAGGAGATATCTGGGCCTTTGGTTGCATCTTTGCCGAGGTTCTTAGCTTTGCGCTAGGTCGAAGAGCTGCTGTGGAAGAGTTCCGGAACAGTCGGAAGCAAACCCCGAACATGGATGATGCTCGGGGGGGACAAAACGGACCCAAAAACGATTTTTTCTACGAAGAGTGTACAGAGATTTTGCAGGTGAACGGGAAACTTGGTGCACAGATCCGACAGTCCTATCGTCTTCGTTCTGGGGTTGACAAATGGTTGCGCAAGCTGCCTACAATATCTACTCATCTAAACAGCACTATCGACTGCTGTGTTCAGACCATTCGTGATATTCTCGAGGTAGACGGTTCAAGAAGGATTGGAGCTGAACATTTGGTCAAGAAGATGAAGCATGTCGCATATCACGTTGCCCATGCTCGTGAACCTAATACCCTCCAAAACTGTCCACTAGAACAGTCAAAACTTCAGCGTACTTTCGATCCGCCTCTCTTAGATGTATCTGATGCACCAAAACCAGGAGAAATAGAGCGGTCACCTTCCATCCAACTGATCACACCCGTATTGGGCAAAAATGACAAATCGGTCGATAACGGTGCAGCCATGCCCTACAATAGCACTCCAAACTTCCCAGAACAACCTCTTCACGAGATAGGTTCGCTTCAAACGCAACAGCATGGGCCATCACCTCCTCTTCCTCCTGCTGGACAAAAAACTCGTCCACACTATGTTCATGGCCAGAAACATTCGACTCCTCGTCGCAACGACTCGACCCGAGGATCAGCTAGCACCATAAGCCCTGGTGAAGCAAGTGAATTTTCTTACGACAATCAATCAGATAGGTTCTATCGGTCTATTGGTAAAACATCCAGAGCCGACCTTCACGGAGTCACGATCGATCAAAACAAAGAGCGTGACGTAAAGAATCTCGTAGAGTTTGGCATTCCTAACTTACAAAAGTCAACAATTCATTCTATCTCACTCTGCACATCTGGGAAATGCTTGGCCTACCTTGTCACACAGCCAAAAGATGCCCACCAGACAGTTTTTCTCTTTAAAGTATCTTTGAAAGATTCAAGTCTTCAATTTGACCGTTGTTTTTCACTCCCGCCAGTCCCGGTGTGGAAACACATCGTCCAGGCAGGCTATAATTTTGTGGTATGGGGTAATCAAACTGGAGGGATAAAACATGTAGTTGTACCACATCTGAGTCATTTTGATCCAGGCTGACGATTTAATGCAGGTCTTGATCGGAGGAGTAGACCGCGATTATGAGGTCTGGGACTCGACAATGAAACAATGGCTTGCCTCACTTATTAGTGTAGCCATCTCTTATCATGGCTCGGTAGCACTTGTGAGTGCCAAGGTTATATGTTATTTCAATTTGAAGTCAGCTGTCCCTATCCTGAATGCCATTCTAACAGCCAATCTGACTTATTATAGTGATACTTCAAGCAGCGAGACCATTTTGTCAACAGGGAACCAAACGTTTACTGATGCCAGGTTCAATGATGATGGGAGTGTTCTCTACGCATGGTCATTTGGTCGACCAGACGACCGCTTACATATTTGGCTGATTTATGAAGCTACAAGAGAACTGATTCAACCCACAGATTCTCAAGGAAGCTATGCATCAGTAAGACCCAAGTTCTTCATAAGAGATAAATAGTAACAGTTTCAAGAGACAGCAAGGAAGTTCAGAAGTAAAGATAATCCCATACAATAGCTACCAAGGCTGCATTATCCATGTCCCTGGGAGTACTTTCTTTCCTGCCCAAATCCGAAGCACGCAGCGCGGAAACAACGAACGACTTCCCAGGATGGAAAAGATAATAGCAGATACTGTGGCAGCTTGCATCTTTGGGGATCATTCACTGCTGGTGGTGGAAAAAGGTTATTGGCATACTCGCATCAGAGAGTACCGTATTGCTGGTAGTGGAAATCAAGCCATCGAAGATACAGCCAAGAAGCCCCTTCTGGAGTGGAGATTATCTGCTGATAAAATTACTCAGATGAGAGTCGTGCCAGTGCCGGATACTGACAATCTTGTGATCATTCTTTGTATGCTGGAGAACAAAGTCATCTTCATCCCAATTGTCGCTAGGGGAGTACAAACCCAAGCCCAGAGATAGGGTTTCAAACATATAATTCAAATTCTCACAAATTGCTTTTCTATATTTACAATACCTTCTTACATATGTGATATTGATAGATGTTAATGAGCCGGCGACTTGCATACACAAGGATCACGAGAGATCGTGGATAACCCCCTATCCTGACTGAGTCTTTCCCTTCTCTGAACAAGATGTCGTATAATTGCTACGTGGCTTCCCTTGAAAAGGCCATCGGAATGGCTTGCGCTTGATTCTAGAATCGATGTACAAGATGAACACGTATACGGCGCCAGTCATGACAATGAGTGGTAGCCAAGTAGCAATGAAGATCCAAAAGTCCGGAGAGACCTGGAGCCTCTTAGAGACAGGATTGAAAAGAAACAAATTCATACCGAAAATTGACTAGCTCGATGTTAATAAATAGTCTCAGATATACAAAGTGGGTCCAATACTCACGGCAATGAAATTTCCAGGTAGATAGACAGCGGATACAAAGGTTATAATCTTCACAGTCGCACTATCGTCAACAGTGTCTTCGGTAAGCTTTTTCAGCCCCTCAGTCAGGTTCCGTAACTCGGTGTCTATTTTCGCGGCTTCGAGTTGGTTGTGCAATGTCAGAGTATACCCAATCTGCTTACGTTTAGCTTTGTCTAGGTAATGTGTTCACAGTACTAACGAGATCGATCAAATTCTGCACTCTTCCTTTAAGCACGTCTGCGCTCTCGATATATCCTTTCATCTTACACTTGTGCGCGCTCAGGTTCTCCAGCTGGCTCAACGGCTCAAACGATGCCATTGAAAATTGTTCCATCAAAACGAAATTACCAGAACAGCACGCGCGTGCGAAGATGATGAAGTCGTTGATATTGCGTAACTGTTGAACGCGAAGGAAGCTAGAGCTCGGTTCGGTGTGCTCGGGCTTCACGACCATGGCTAAGTTATTCTCCTCTGCGAAAAGTTCTCCGATGTAGCGAAAGTACCAGCGCCAGTTATCGAAATACTGTCGAAAGAGCCAGGTGTGCAGGAGGAAAGGATTACTGCAAAACTCTGCTCGTGCCACAGGATCCGTCTCCATGGCTGCTATCACTGTCTCGACAGGTGGAGCTCGAATTGGATGTAATAAAACAATAGTGTCAACCTCATCGTAGCGATGGAATACCCCTGTATGTCGAAAGGACCAGGGATCTTGTCCACCACGTTGATTTTGCTCTACGTAACGGATTTGGTAACTCAGGTTACAATCACCTGGGGATTTGGCACGGATAGCGGTGTTGCTACTACTCCCTTCTGCAATGTTTGGATTTTGTCCAAACGAGGCTACAACGTCTGCGAAATCGTAGGGAATGCGGTATTGTTCGAAGATATGCTCCAGAAGACTGTTTGTAATGTCCAGAGCTGATATAGTCTTGCGTGAGTAGATTGAGCTGTGCGTTGTCATTATGAGAAGGCGGTTATTAAATTCTAGGTCAACGCACATGATACGGACTCGCGTTGGTTTGAGGGCTTTACGACTGAGCACCTTCTCAGCCTCGCTTGGTGATGTATGAAGTATTGATATATACGAATCTGAGATGGGTAAGCTTGTTACGATCTACTAACGTTTGCATTTCCTAACCTTTCGCAATATCTGTTATTCTGATCTTTACCGCAGTACAATCATCCTTCAAGAGGACTTTCGGTTTTGAGAAATTCCACGGCCAGACACGCGGCTGTGATCTGGCTGGTGACATTATACACAAAATTGGATGAGGCAGTCGTCACTTGAAGCTAAAAAATGATATATAGTCCAATTATTCAACTCGCAAAGTGCACTGAAACTAGTCAAGAAAGAAGGCACAGCAATGCCGCGGTCAAAATCATGATTTCAGCTTGGTCGCAGCATGATCATCACATGGTAGTCCAGCCCAGCGGCAAAGCCCGTCTCACAGATGGCGGGCGCAGCTCAGCTGCACTAGAATTTCATGCTTCGATAACAAGTATAACCATTCTAATAGGTCCATGATCACATAATGGCCTAGCCCAGGGGCGAATTCTGTTTTGCAGATGGTGGGCGCAGCTCAGCCGCACTAAAAGTTTATGTTTCGCTAACAGGTAGAACTATTCTGATGGGCCCATTACACACACCATCTCAGCGGGGAAACAAACAATTAAGCAACTCGATTTTCAGGCATTATCGCAGATCCACTTCAGCCACAAACTCTTGCGCCGCTGCCCATCAGCTCTTACCCTCTTGCTTCGATTTCATCAATGAGATTCCTGTAAAGCTGTTTAGTGGAACAAACTGATGTTCTTCCAATGCAATACGTACAAGATGTCTTCCTGAGGCTTGATTAGAATTTAATAAAGAAACAGACAACTATACATACTGGGTCTACTTTCTCAGGCGCTTCGAAGGTCCACCTATCACATACATGCTGCGCGACAGTAAGCCATGAACCTGGTTTGTCTTTTTTGGTCTTATCGCATACCTCAACTTTAAAGTCGTAGTCCGGATTCCCTTCGCCAAACTTTTCTTTCAGGAAGTTCTCTAAATCCTCTGCGGCCAGAATGTACCGCGTTTGGGCAGGCTCGATGATGTTGAGGACCATAGTGCGAAAAAAGTTGCAAATCGTTCAGGAAAGCGCCTTAGTGCTTCGGATGGTTTTGCGTGTGGTATCCATGACTGCCCTGTTGTATTATATCCTGTCTGCCTTATGACTTCCGTAGCGGAGTCCTTCCTAGCAGGCTGCAGGAAGAGAGCCATACTATTGGAAAGGCTGCTTAACATAGCCGAGTGGAGGTTGCCATTGCGCCCTCCACGAGTTCAGCATTTCTCAGCTTGGCCAAGCCCTCTAAAGCTGAGGACGACCAGCTGACTTGTCAACAAGCAAGCCGGCTCCTGAGCTGATCGAGCTGAGCCAAGTCAAGCCACGCTGATACCCTTTTATTGTGGTATCAATCCAAACTAAGCTTGATGCTCAGCTTGGCTCAGCTTGCTTGTTGACAAGTCTGACGACCAGGCTGCTAGATAACCAGACTGCCCTGCAATTTCATGCGCGTGATATCAACCCTACTTCCCAGCAGCTTCTTTTGACGCCTGGAGCTGGTGCAAGGAGCTGCAATCATGCCTGTTCAGGACAATCAGCCGAAATTACAGTTAGTTGCATTCATGTAGATGGTTTAGTGCTTAAGTAAAAGGCTGACGTAGCGTAGTCAAAATCTCCAGGGATGGATGATCTTCGTACGATACCTGTTTAGATTTTCATCGCTCTGAAACTCCGGCTGACATAACTACGAACAGTTCATTGTTATTAGCGCCGTAATAGGTAGCGGTATCTTCAGTAATGGTGGTCCTGCGATGGAGGTCGCTGGCCCGGCCGGAGCTTTGGTTGCTCTGGTCATTATGGGTGTGGCACCCTCTTCCGCAAATACCGTTTTCTCCATGGAAACCTGACTCAGTATGGCAGGAGTAATTGCAATCTGTGTTGCCGAAGGCTTGAGCGAATTAACCCAGCTCTTTCCCGCCCCAAACGCGATCGTCGAATACGTGCGAGCTTTCGTAGATGAGGACCTCGCATGGGCGGTTGGTATCGCATACTGGTAGAGATTAAACAAGCTTTGGTCTAGAACAAGGCGCTGATATCTGTATAGGTTCACATACTCCTCAATCTTTGCTACGCAAAACCTTGCAGCGGCGAACTTAGCTGTATACTGGGGATTGAAGCAGGTCTGGCAGATCATAATTTTCTATTTTGTCACACCTGGAGTTCTTGTCGCCATAAACCTCGTCGGTGTTGGGACTTTCGGATGGATAGAGGCTATTGGTGGCATCCTCAAGATCATGCTTGTGTTTGGTGCCACTATCGTTCTTTATGTTATTGCTGCGCAACGTACGTCAAAAATATTCAGCCAATCTCACATTGTCTAACATACAATAGAAAGCTTTTGGTCTGGAGATGGACGTATGTCTCCATATTCAGTATTATAAGCGGGTGCTAATTAGAGCAGCGATACAAGCCGGCTTTGAACACAATAAGACTTTCACTACCAACAAGTACCGCGCCCTCGCGTAAGTGTTCCAGAGTCTGATAATGTGTATCATGAATCTATAGAGCTGAACTCCAGGTAGCTATGTGATTCCCATGATCGCTTTTGGTTTCCTTGGCATCGAAACCGTCGCCGTAACCGCATTCGAAGCACGCACATCTCACTCTTTAAGGCTTCCATCTCAGTCAATCGCTTACATTGTACTTTTGCTATACTTTTTATGTCTACTTGGACAGTGCCTCAACGTCTCATGGCAAAATGGGCATCTCCCATTGATCTATGCCGGCATAGGGGACGATGCAAGAGATACTAAAAACCTCAAGGATCCGACCTCCAGCAGTCTCGCCATAATTGCGCTCTGGAACTATGGGCAAAAAGGTTTAGCAGGGTTTTTGAATGGTGCCATGATCTTTAGCGTCATATCAGCTGGTAATACCTCACTCTACGTCGCATCGCGAACACTTTACGGTATCGCGAGGGATGTGCCGACAACGAACTGGCTGGGTAGGTTCTTGCATAGCTTTTCTGTGGTAGTGCCAAAGACTGGAGTCCCAGCTCGTGCCCTGGTTTTCTCAGCAGTCGCGTTTATATGGTTGCCATTTCTCAGTCTGAAAGGCGGATATGCAGTACAATATGTAAGTTACAACCAGTCAGGTAGTAACACGACTAGACTGACGATTAACCAAGGTCATCGAGATATTCCAGATTTCTGCGAGTGTCAGCTGCCTGATTGTCTGGGCTGCCATATCTTTTGCGTATTTGCGCTACTACATCTGGTTCGTTAAGCCCATTACGCTTCACCACATCTCAAGCTCCGTTAACAATCTACACAGGCTCAAACGCTGCGACAAGAATCTTGTCGACAAGTACCAACAATTCGATCGTAGCGACGGCTCTTACCGACCATTCACGGTACTTGCTTTCCTACAACCGCTTCCTGCCATCGCTGCAATTGCAGGCTGTGTTATCGTCTTCGCTTTCTGCAGCGCGACATGGTGGGATAAAGATGTCACATTTTCAAAAGTCGCGATTGGCTACGCGAGCCCCATCATCTTCTTTGTGCTATTCGTCATCTTCAAGCTTATCAATCGCCGGATGTGGGTTCGTACAAGCGATGACTTTGTCGCTCTTTCGAAGACGCTGGATAGGCTAAAGTGGTATAAAACGGACGAACTTGATCTTAATCGGCAAACTCAACGAGAGGAGGAAATGAGAGTACTTGATCTGCCGTAGGTATCCGCATAAGAACTAGACAGATTTATTCATCGCTAGGTATATTAAAATCAATTATACTTTACTAGAGAAAGATGCTACCAATACCACAAAGTTAGCATTCATGATTTGATATAGGTATTAACTTAGCTTGTTAAGCTAGGTAGTAATAAAATTTAGTAGAAATATTCCAGTAAGCAAATGTTCTATAACAACTCTGATAATTGAAGAACAATGCTATTAGTAGCAGAGTTAGTTATATATTGCTAAAACTATAGCGTTGAAGGATCCAAACTAGGCTACTTCTTACCCCTAACGCTACTCCTCTCGTTGTCGCTAACGCTAAGATTATCTCTTTCACTTGTTGCAATAACTTCTCCAGCTTTATATATTCGATCTGTCTCCAATTCCGTCAATTCCACTTCGCTACCATACCCATTCTCCGTTATCGCACCTTCGATGTACACCGGGCCTTTGGGCCGGCCCTTTCGCCAGGTTGAGGAGAGTTGGGCACTAGTGACGCCACAGTGGTGTTCCGCGTTGCTACGATAGAAGACTTTGGTTGAGCGGGAGAAGGGTGGCGTTCGGGAGCTACCTTGGCCGCTGTCGGTGGCAATGCGGTGGATCTTGCGGAGAAGAGGACGAAGCGAGAGGCACGAGATGATCATGATGGAGATGGTATATTCGGTCATAGCGAGAATGTCTTTATCAACCCAGGAGAATTAGCTTTCAGGATTCTATAAGATGAAACCTTGCATCGCTTACACATCGGCAGATTGTTCACGACAAGATCCTGCACGGCAAAGCGTACAATACTAGACGTGATAGTCAAGCTACCAAGCATGAACATGCAAAGCAAACCCGCTTTCTCGCGTCGATATCTGAGGTTCAGGCTCTGGATGACCGGGAGTGGCAAGAAGAATACTGTCATCGAACATCAGTGTCAATAGCAAAGTGTCTGGGTGCATACTTACTGAAAATCTCGGAGATGATATTGAGGGACCAGGTCAGCTGGCCCAGTGGCTTTGCGCTGAAAGCAGAGCAAGCTTCAGGATTGTCGGACCAGTTGACGGCCATGTCAGTACCACACCAAAAAGTAATGGCGACATAAGCTGCGATAGCTGATGCTGTCACAAAACATACCACTGCCCACAGCCCTTTGCGCATCTTGGGCGACGTCGCGGGAATGATGCGTATATAGAACGCAAGCATGCTGAATTTAGGGACGAATAGCCCGCCATCAAATAAGTATATCGTGGCGTATCGGAGCTGCTCGTAGCTTTAGCACTTTGTGTGTTTTAGGATCGAACTAGAAGCAGTAGAACACGCACTCTGCGAACATCTTCCGAAGGTGAGATGAAGTTACTCATTTCATTTGCTCTGTATGTCGCAGTGTCGCAAGCAATCAACGCAGTGCAGTTCAAAACGGCAAGGACAAGCCACATGTCGGCTATGAACATTGACGTTGTCTTATTCCGAATGTGCACCCCAAACCGACAACCAGCAAGCATGATGCTTATCACATACAAACACCATTCAATGACCTTGACAGCATTAGAAATAGAAAAAAGTGTATGCTAGATACACGTGGCATAATTAAACGTACGATAACACTAGTCGGGTCGATCGACATGGCGGATAGACGCCAGTTTGGGGTTTCTTATTTCAATCAGGTGTCCATCAATGAGCCACTTGCACCCGGAGAGGTGGTAACAAGTGGGTATTTGTAGGTTCCATAGGATCGACTTGGGCACGCATGATTGGTAGCCATATAGCACATATTCACGCTGGTGGTGCCGAAGAATGAGCCATTTAGAGAGCGCGGCCTTGCGGTCTCAGTACCCGCTTCCCCAAGCCGCGGTGATTGTGTTCCATAGCAGAATTACTAATAACCTAGTGTTTCGCTTCTCCAACGGTAGGTGTAGGCAGCGGCCGTGCATCTGGCTGGGCGCGAAAGCCGATTCGATAGTGGGGAATAGAGTTTGTGGATTACGCCATACTAGCTGGAAGCTACTCTACCCGAGCACGCAAGCGCGCCCAATTATAGTGTATTGCGACGCTTCCTGATGAGCCCGCCTGCTTTCATTTGCAAGAGACCTTATCTTACGAGTTAAGGCGTTCCAGCGGTTCCCAGCCCCTGAGACGGACGGGCATGCCAAGGCGGGTGGCAAAGTCGAGACCTAGAAATCAAGGTGTAGCATTCGAGATTCCTGACTCGAGATTCAGGACATGGGATTCAGGCTCAGATTTTGGCATGATTGCCCCTAGCTGCATGGCGATCTTGAGTTCAACTCCTATAGCATAGTGCAATATTACCTCGCTGCCAAAGCCACAAGCTGCCCGCTCGGGTGCACGTCAGATGCCAGTGAAGTCATGCAAATGCATGACATTCAACGTTTGCACGGTAACGATAGCCCCTAGATAGAGAGGGAGGCGATGCCAAGGTTTCTAATCAGACGCAAGCCACGCCAAGTATCCAGGCACTTGGATTGTGGATAGCTAAGTGCAACAAGGCCCCAAGCTGCCCCAGGGTGCTGTCACGAACGCAGCAAACATTCGACTTGTATTACGAGGGTCACAGTTATAGGTTGTATTACCCCTGAAGCAAGATTCAAGATGGCAGAAAATGTCGACGGTTTTCTGACGAAAAATCGTAACCCTTCTACTCGATATACTGCACTTTTATACTTTTATACTAGATATTAGTTACCTATACTATATAATTAGAGAAAAAGAACCTTCAATAATACTATGAGTGATACCCAATCTTACTTCTTTAAGCTTAATTATTACCTAGTTTAGTTTTGTTAAGGGCGAAGAGGCCTTCGAACGAGAGTGCATTAACCTATATTATAGAAGAAGAAAGATAAAGAAAGTAAAGCTATCGTACGACGTCTCTCGCTTTATACTCTTGCCTTAGGTTCCTTCGTACGAATAAGGTTTCGTGACTAAGCGGTGTGAAGAGGACACGTGATACAATCACGTGTTTTACTAAGTAAATTTCTTTTAACGAAGAAAATAATATTTTTATACCTCTAGATAAGGCTGCTGAAATGGATGCTCGGCAACGACGCTCTAGAACTGTGTTTATGGCCTTGCGACCTTCGTCTATTGAACCGACCTTGTCCCACTGTAGCTTGGCCCAAAGTTTGATCTCGCCGCTATGTAAGCACCCTTCCTTGTCAGCTTCTAGCAGCCGTGCATACATTCTAACCGGATATAGTAAGTCGCTAGCCTGTATAAATTAGATCGCTACCATGTTGGGTTAGACCGGCTTGATGGCTTGATTGTTGGCAAGTCTGCCACCGACGACTACCACCGCGGGTGCTGCCCACTGCGGAAACGCTTCGGTGACCCACATTGTATTCGCGATGGAGAGGGATGCCCATGAGAGGCTATTGAGGCCGTAGGCGAGGTAGTAGATAGCGAAGTGGTACTTGTAGGACTGCGAGGCCGTAAACGAGTGTGCTTGCGTTGCCTGTTAGAATGGGAACGATGTAGGTGGTTAGGTAGTGTTCTACTTCTAGCACGTCTTTTATATTTTGACAAGGCGCTTGATGAGTTTGCCGCCGGGGAGACCGGCGGGCGGATACGCGAGGAGGGTGCCCACGGCTGAGGCGTTGTTGACGTGGATGAGGAGGGAGGAAGGGATCAGCAGGGCGGTGCAATAAGGACGCGGGCGAAGGTTGGGCCGATGGACATCATGCCGGCGAAGCTGAAGGCGGAGGCGAGCAGGACCCAGAAGATGAGTGGGTTAAGGAAGCAAAAGAGGATTTGGGCGTTGCAGTGGCCAATTGATAGGAAGGAGGCAAAAGGGGAGCGGGAGAGGGACGAGGAATAAGGCAATGATGCCGATGAAGCCCGTTATCGACCAGAAAGCTGCAATGGCTTTGGGGCGCTAATCGATGAACGTCATGTCGATGACCATCAGAGATGGCCAGATCAGTACGAAAGATGACAAGGCATGGGATGTTGACGAACCGAAGTCACAGAGAAACCTTGGCCCATGCCAAGCAAGCACACAAACAAGAGCAGCCCACACACTGTGGTCCATATCTAGTTAGGGGATATCTGCAGCGCTCTTCATCAACCACATTTCTGCCGCAACTCTAGCGATTTTCCCTTTCAGCCAATGGAAAGGACGGCGCCGACAATGGTACTTGGCATTACGCTGGTAGCGAGCGGCCGCTTTTGAAGCCATAGGTGGAGCTGACCGAACATGCCTCCCCAACAAGAAACTTTAGCTTCATGTTGAGATCTTAGTTGCAGCGACGTCATTGTGCAGCGCGGAGCCATGCATCTGTGTCAAGATTCTTACAAATGAAGAGTTGTAAAGCGCTTGTAACACATCAAATTCTTAAAATACTACGACGCATGAGCTATACATAAAACTAAAGAATAAGTGCTAAATGAGTGGCAGGTGAGCTTTGTAACAAGAACGTACCACAAAAGACGACAAAAAAGATTGGTAAACATCTCGCCCTAAGAAGCCAAAACAAACAGAAACCCTACAATCTCTTCTCACCTATCACAAACCTAGCAGCACCTCGCAACATAATTGCACTTGTACAAACCGCCATGGCCCGACCACATCCTCTGGCGCTTGACCTTCTTTCCAGCAACAATAATATACCTATCGTTCTGCACGACGGCCACATGTTTGATCGACGAATCCTTGGTGCACCTTCCACTCGACTTCGTGCTCCAGAAGACCAGGTCGCCCTTCTGGCGGTTGGCATATTTGATGTGCTTGCACTTTCTGGACTTGTACTGCTGCCAGGCGCTGTGCGGCAGGACTTTCCTCTTGCTGGTCGCCTGGCACACGGCGTACTTGGTGAGACCGGAGCTGTCAAATCCGCCTCTGGTAGGACCATTGCAGTCTCCTCCGCCCCATTTGTATGGAACACCGCGTTGCTTTAGAGCGAACTTGTAGACCTTTACACTGCAAGTGTCTTTGCGCGGAACGAGCAAGGGAGAGGAATCGCGAGCCGTAATGGCCGGCTCATTGTCATCATCGTCGGGTATGTGGTCGCCATCATCAGGGCCAACGCCTTCATCTCCCCCATCGTTGTCGCCATCATCCCCTGTATCATTGGCATCAGGAGGAACGCAGCACTGAAGGATGGATTAGCAGTTGCGTTTGCTGATAAACGTTGTTTTGTTTGCTATTCTTACCGAAAATCCGGCGGTGGAGCAACCATCATCAACGACACTGCCCTTGCAGGTACTCTCGTCCTGCACGCAGATACCATCGCCATCCTATTGCATATTTGAGTTCCAAGTCTAACCAGTGTGATTGTGTGCCTTACACCGGTAGAGCATTTAATATCTGCTCTCAATTCAAGAGGAACGACGACTGCTGCTTTCGCAGCAACCGAAAGAGCGAGGAGGGAAATGATAAAGCGCATTTTGGTGATGTTATCTACAACTGGGTTGTGATGCAAGGATGTTAAGGTGAGTTGAGTATCGAGAACCGCAATGCGAATGCACCACTTTATAGATTTTCAACGAGGAATAAAGGGCCCCCAGAGACTCCATGAAGCCACAATCTCGCATTGGAATAGCCAACGCGAGAGTCAAAACATTTACGTTGGTCTGTTCTAGGTTTAGTTTAATTTGCAAAACTTTGGGTCGGAGAGTCCGCTCGCATACTTTTCATGGAGTAGTGGAAGTTCCTGATAACATTTCCATGAATAGAACGACAACTCTAGTCTGGTCGGAATCCATCCAATGCATACTACTAGCGTACAGTAGGTTGAGTGATTCCTGATTCCTTCGCGCGTTCGGTTGGGTCTTGAACCTTTCAGCTGGCTAGCCTCTAAACAATCAGCTCAGTCTTTTGGATCCCGTCAATTAAATCTCCGCATATTCTAAATCTTCAGCTCTGACCAGTTCGCAATTGCAATGCGAAAGATACGCGAGACTTAGCAGCGATGCGAAGAATACGTGGAGCTACCTTCGTGTGATGCGCACCTTCGCGTGATGCGTACCCCCAGCTCCTTCTCATACGGTAGTTGACTCAGCAACACAGCTAACGTAACATGTTTCTCCACCTGGCGCATGATGTTGGATGTCCGCCCATATAAATTCTAAAGCTCTACGAAGTTACATATATTATGTACAAGCTAGAATTTCTAGTGGAGAAATCATTTTTGTAGAAGATGTGTGTTAGAAGTATGAGCTAGCCCATCGCTTTTTGACTACAAGCTTTTGATGGAGATTCCGGACTTACGGTTAACTTCATAAACTGATGGTCATCTCTCGTTCTTGTTTGGCTCTTCCCCAGCACTAACACCCTTACGGTTGTCCATGGCTGGAGGTGTGGGGCTAGGAAGATGATGTGACAATGGTAGAAGTTACGCATGTCGAATGCGGGGGCATTCTACATATGCAAAATAGCACCAAGCTGACCAAAGTAACCCTTGGCATCTATTACCACCATAAGCAGGGTGGGTGGACGACCCACACCTACCACACCCTTGTCTTTGAATCTGTAGGGCAGAGAGCAGAGAGTCGGAGCTGCATCGGCTCCTGCGTCGCCAGCGGATACTGTATCGGCGATGCATAGTCCACTATAGGCAACACCATGCTCTTTGCTAGCTGCTTGATAGTATTGGGCTGGAGTTCCTCCAGCCTATGCAGTGCCGCATTCCGCTGCACACCTGAGTGATGACATGTTATGGAGCCACTCTCATCCAGATGCACAGGTAGCGACTTCACAGCTAATTAGATCTTATCGTTAGAAACGATGGCTCATATGCGAAATGCAAGGTTTATTGCTTCTTTGTCTAACTAAGGATCTCGGTGGAGAGAGCTAGCCATTCTGTGGTTCCAGTTGCTACCTTGGGAGCACCACACCAATAAAACGGTACCAGAAATCTTCCTGTCAGCCACGCCTACAGTCTGGACGCATGCCAATTTCAGCCAAAAATAATCGGCAACGCTGCGAACATATGGTTGGCTTAGGCAGAAGTCACGAGGGTGTGAGTGCGGTGATGCGAGCGCCTTACTATTTACAGCTTCCTCACCATTCTCCAAAAAGTATCGCAACACGTTCAAAGGCCAATCGCTTAGGGTTACTCTCTCTCCCAATTTCCGCTTCAACCGACCTAATACCGTATCAGCCCTAATATGCGGCCACAGCATCGGACTGCGTTTCCGGTATACATGCTCAATAGGCCGAACTTCGCTAAAATTAGAATAACAACATAATTTAACCTTTGGTTTCTTAAACAAGAACGATCTCTTAATATTCAAGACACTACGTAGACATTTATTGTTAAAAAAGTTTACTACAAACTATATATGTATAAACTCTTGCTACATATTAAGAGTGAAAAGGCGTTTGAACGAGTATGCATTAACATACGTTCATAGTTCTAAGTTGTAACGGCGCAGGCAAGACTACTCGGATCAGTATCGGCGGTAGTGTCACTCAGAGGCATATGGGAGTGCGTGGGACATCAAACGAGCCTTGATTCGAATAGACGCCTATAGGCCTTGTACGAAAGGATATTAAAAGTCTATAGCGCTAGCTACAGAGGGTGTCTTCTTATATACTTATGTTAGTTAGATCCAAATCGGATCCGACCTCACAACGAGTGGTTGATGAAGAGGACGGCGAATACTACCTCCGATCCGGCTCTGGGATTATTCCGGCACCTGGCGAAGTTGTAACATCGTTACACTAACTTGTAATCTCTAGAGGCACAAAAAGAGATATTTCAAGCTTTTTCTACTCCCTTAAGATAGGACATAGATACTTTAACTCCTATCTAAAGAGAGTAAATAGAAGAGAGATAGATCTTTGTAGCTATAAGAGAGCGTAAATAGTAGAGCATCTACTTCTATACTACGGCTTCTATAGCGCAGAAAGAAACTAGCTTAAATAGACTCTAGGCTAAAAAATACTTAAACTCTCACTTCTACTCCATACCACGAGCGGTATAGAAGCTACTTTAGCTTTTATTACTAGCACGAGGATAGGAACAAGAAAGTAGCACCTAGGCTAGGAAGGCTAGAAAAGAATAAAAATAAGAAAGAAATAACATGAAAGAAAGACGAAGAAGAACAAATTGGATTTTATTAGTACTATTTCCTATCCCCTAAGACAGCTCGCTAGAAGGCAGCCTAGCTGCCCTACATCTCTCCCTGTTACTAAACTACTCTTTAGCACTAGGCATCTAGAAAGCTAGTAATAGCGCAGCTAGATAAAGGCCGAAGCACCGTAGTCACGCAATACAGCATAAAGTACCAAATTATAAATAATTAGATAGAACGGCCTTAGGCCAAAGTCCTACATAGCCAACGGCTGATACAGGATTATAATGGAATAATAATAATAATAGCCCCCTGCAAACCAAGAGCGCGGGCCACACAAATGGAACAAAGGTTTGTTCTCCATGGAATAACTGTCAGGGCAACATCGCGAAAATTCGTACCGGAGGCAGATGCGCTGGAAGAGAACTGGGCCCAGAATATAATACGCCGAATATAGGTCGATAATCTCTCAAATAAGAGATAGCGAGGCTCCAAAGCGAAAGCTGTCACGGTACACCTTGCGTCCCGGCACGCTTGGATTGACATTAGACGTTTGGGTAGGTTGCTTGCCTTATTCACTTAGGTAGCTCGATTGCTTGTGAACTACATTAACTTATGATCCATGTCAAGAATGAAAGTAGCAGTCTAAAATCTGTACATTTGCTTTCTACTACAGAACCTGAGGAGTGGAATACAAGCTTGGCGCATCTCGCACAGGAGGTTCAGCCCAAAAGCAACCACACCATCGAATAAGACGTCGCACTACTAACAAAAGATAACTTATCGACACCCAACAACAAATATACCACATCCCGAGCAACCCCAAACACACGCCCTTAGCCTCTCTCCACCTGCTTCAGCTGAACCCACAACGGCCCCTTCTCCCAAACGATGAACGCCCTCTGTTCATCCGGCCAGCCGTGACTTTTGGGCTGTAACACAAAGTTGAAGTTCCACACGAGACGAGCAAGAATGACCTTCATCTCGTTGTAGGCCAAATTCTTGCCGACGCAGTTCCGTGGACCAAAAGAGAAGGGCTGGAGTGCTGCTTTCTTGTCGGCGTTGAACTGCGGGTCATGGTGAGGATGGTCAGGACCGAGCCAGCGCTCTGGGATGAAGGAGTCGGGCTGGACAAAATTGTTGGGGTTGTGGTGGGTGGCCCACTGAAAGATTGTGACGATAGTCTAGAAGGTGTTGTTAGCCATGGCTCAATTCGTCCTAAATAGCTTTGAGAGTCGGCCCATTACATCCTTTCCTGGATGACGGACCGCAGACAATGTGATGTGGAGGGACTTACGCCTTTGGGAATATATTGACCGTTTACGTATTCACCCGGAGACACACGTGGAGGCGTCTCCACAGCGGCCGGATAAATTCGCAAAGTCTCCTCAATGCATGCGTGCAGGTATTTGAGTTGCGCAGTGGACAGCATCGTTATATCCCTCTCAGTAGGGAAGGCCGCCCGAACCTCTTGTTGAAGCCTCTCAAGAGCCACCGGGTTTGTCGACAGGTAGTAGGTACAGCCCGAAAGTGTAGTAGCTGTAGTCTCGCTGCCAGCCACAATGAAGCCTTCGGAGTTGCCCAAGATCTCTGCATGACTCATGCCCTTCTCGTCGTTGTGACGAAGAATGTACGTCATGAAGTCTTTCCGATCGTTGGGTGCTGGGCCAAGTGCTAGCCTTCGCTCTACTTTGTCGTGACTCATTTGCCTGTTATCAAGTCGCTTTTGCATGTCCTCCCTGGAGATCAGCAGCTTTACGATCCAACTCAGGTACGGCAACTTCATCAATGCTTGCATTTGAGAACTGGCTCTGATGCCAGCGAAGATCATCGTGACCCACGGATGATAATCGCTCTGGTCTAGGCAGTGAAACGACTCCCCCAAGGCCAGGTCTCCAATGATGTCGAAAGTCGTAAAGTTGTACCATTTGACAACGTCGGTTGGTATACGTTGCTCGGCGTGTTTCCGGAAATGATCAAAGAGCTTGTCAATGTACTGCATGATTAGCGCCTCCTGTCCCTTAATTGCAGCATCCGAGAATGCATGTGCCACGATACGGCGTTCACGTCGGTGGTCCTCTCTATTGGCCGTGAAGATTGAAGTATAAGACGCGTCTCCGAGCTCGAAGAAGGGCTTCCATTTAGGAAATTCGGGTCGACCGCCACGACTGTGTCCATAGACCTCAGGCCATCCAATAGTTCCGTCGACGGATATCGAGTTAGGCCCAGTACGGACTATGTCACCGTACTTTTCATGGTGCTTCAGGACCTTTTTGGCGAAAATACCCAATAGATTGTTCTCAACGATATACGGGATTCCAGAAACTGCAAGGTGCTTCGGTCCCGAAATCTTGCGAAGAGGATGTAAGAAGAGCCGATAGACTGCAATGCCCAATGTACTGACGACGCTCTGCGGAATTTATTAGGAGGTAGCTGCATAATCGAAATGAAGACACGTACAATCTCGAGTAAAAGTAGCACAGCTGCTGCTGCCTGCTGATAGGACATCTCGATCGAAATGACGAAGATGCAAGTAAATGTAGAGTTTATTCGAGAGCTGCTTTGGAGACGGGGATCTTGGTCCTCGAATACACGGCGTGAGATGCAATGCGGATGTGTGTCGAATAATGGCCATATCACTTCGCACGGGAGGACGACATAATAGATACTCCGCGACGAAAACCCCCCTGGGTAGTTAGTTAGACTTCATACCCTGTCTCTTCATCCATGGCTTCCACAGACATGGATGATGTCTGCCAACGTTTCGCTTTGACATCTTGGGTGGACCCCTATTAGTGCACAAGAAAGCGATTTAGTGGTGACGACCAGGCATAACGGTCGGATCTCAGTCATTCGCGGGGCGCTAGCCTCGATGAGTTACATCCGCCAAAACCTCCGCTGGGAATGCTAGGGTCGGATCGTGGCTGCTCCGGCTTCCGTCCTCAGCCACGCGCCGTTGCTCCCAACCGGATGTCGTTACTAGCCATCCGGTCACGCCAAGCTTCTATCTCGATTCTACCCCACGATCGGCGTACCTACACCTAGGTAATCTCTTGTGCCCAACGCCAAGCCGGTACGAAGGACGAATGTTGCCAGCTTCTAGACAACATGTTCGCTCCCGGACCAAACTTCGCGGCGCACAAGGTCGATTCAACCTTGCAGACCGGCAAAACTTCAGTCGGCCATGTCCTCAACGAAAACAGGTCCTTTCCGTATTGGTAGAGGAGTGCGAAAGCCTCATCGGTACGCGCAAGGTCAAGTCCTCCTCTCTTGTCAAACTGACGGCGCGGATAGAGCATGTTTTCTTCCAGGCTTGCGTCACGCGAACCAGACTTGTCAACAATCAATCCAGATTGAGACCAACAATTAAGCTGGACTAAATACATAGATCAATCAAGCCAATCCAGTCTATATAAATTATCTTATCAATCAAGCTAAGTATATGCCAGATTGATTGATGAGATTGATAAGATTGATAAAAGAAAAGTGGGGCAAAAAAGGGCAAAAATAGCTGTGAATCGAACTTAAGGCCTCGCTTGTGATCACTTACCCTGCTTACGTAAGTCGGACCGATTAACTAACTAGCGTGCGGGGTCAGTAAGTGGGCCACCCCACCCCACCTGACCTAATATTATACGCAATTAAGCTATAACGTAAAGCACCACCGAGTGTGCTACCCCACCGAGTGTGCTACTTTTTCTTGGTATCGCGAACTTCACGTACGAAAGACAATGCCTTAACAATAGAACGTGATATTTACTTAGTAAGAAGGTAGAATTACTCTAGCTATTTAGGCCTATCATATAGGCCAGTTTAAGAGCATTCGACGCGCTGCAGCAGCCTACAACGTCTATTATTAGTAGATCTCTCAGCGGCTTTAAGAAATTACCTTTCGACCTATAACGTAGCTAAATTGCTAGAAGCTAACTAAATCTAACGAGCAAACTATTATACGATATATTCTTAACCTAGACTCCTAAGTGTTAGAGATATAAGCTAATCAGCTAATCTCTGACATAATCCGGGTAATCAGCACTAACGTGCGGGATCAGTGAGCTGGCCAGATCAGTAAGCTGGCTGTAACGATGTTACAACTTCGCCATGTATCGGACCAATCCCAGAGCCGGATCGGAGGTAGTACTCGCCGCCCTCTTCATCAACCACTCGTTGTGAGGTCGGATCCGATTCGGATCCGACTAAGATAAGTATATAAGGAGACACTCCCTGTAGCTAGCTCTGTAGACTTTTGATATCCTTTCGTACAAGGCCTATAGGTGTCTATTCGAATCAAGGCTCGTTTGATGTCCCACGCACTCCCATATGCCTCTGAGTGACACTACCGCCGATACTGATCCGAGTAGTCTTGCCTGCGCCGTTACACTGGCCGCCCGAAAACCCACCAAAAATCGCAAAAACCGACCCCTGCAAATTTAATAACGCGTAGATGATAAACTCTATAAATCTAATAGTGGCCTTCTCTACTTACTTTAAAGCTCCTATTCAGATTCCCGACAAACAGACCTTAAGTAAATTAAGATATTAAGATTTTATTAAGTTTTGGCCCCTAAATCACTAGATCTCGAGGTTTACAAGATTATATATTTATCTACTAAGCCTAAAGCTTTAAAGTAAGTAGAGAAGGCTACTATTAGATTTATAGAGTTTATCATCTACGCGTTATTAAATTTGCAGGGGTCGGTTTTTGCGATTTTTGGTGGGTTTTCGGGCGGCCAGCTTACTGATCTGGCCAGCTCACTGATCCCGCACGTTATACTCGGATTCTTTAGTCAACCAATCCCTATACAATTCATCTATCTATTACGTCTATAGCTACGTAATCTACTACTAGATAGATTCTTCTAGAATCTAGTATAGCTAATATATAACATGCGGGATCAGTAAGCTGGCCGGAACAGTAAGCTGGCCGCCCCACCAAACTCAACGCGACGTTCTGCACAATTGAGCCACAACAATAAGAGATAATATAATTATATTTTATTCTAAGATAGTCTGTTCTAGTCTACATTAAGTCCGTTTATGACCTTGAGTGTGGCACTTCGTGCACGTTGGCGGCGCGCGCTGGCGTCTCTCACCCGCCTGGCTCTAGCTAGCCTCCATAACCACCCTTTCTGCCTCTATAGTAAGCTGCTGAGCCTACTACACCTAGAGGACTCTACTAGAAGCTATATATTAACGCTGCTAACTCTGCTTCTATCGTTGACGTTAGTTTTCTATACGTAGCTTCTTATTCTCCTCTATAAGTATTGTTGCTAATTACATCGCAAGCTGAGCGCTTTTCGCGAGCTGGCGTATCGCGACGCTTATTAGACTCTCTGGCTGCCGCTGTAGTTACTCTTGAAGATAGCGTAGCTACTGCTGAACCTCTGCTACTGTATGTGGTGTCTCTATCTGCGCTACTGTCTACGCTACAATGTTGTTATCTACAGTAGTCTATGATAGAGACGGTGTTCGGACGACAGTTAGCGACGATAGGATGCGATCTGGACAAGAAGGGATAAGACCTGTCGCCTAGAAGCCTGCCTAGATATTCTACTGCGTAAATATAGTCGGCCGGATCCGTGCATAGGCTGTAAGAAAGTCTATTTTATCAATATAGTAGACGCCATGGCGGGCGAGCTCCTCGACCTCGCGTCCGTACGCGCGCTTAAGAAGGGAGTAGCAGCTTACGTCTAGAGGCTAGAGGAGGTGCGACGTGTGAGGCGGCATACAGAGAGTAATAATCTTATTCTCTGTGCAGTACTGGTCGAACTCTAGCGTAGCGTGGCTACTATAGCCGTCTAGAATAAGAAGACGATAGACTCCAGCCGTACGAGCGGCTATATACTAGTTGAAGTGCTTCACCCACTCTATACCTAGCTCGTCTATCGTCCAGCCGTTGTCTGAGACGCCGATAGTCCAGTCTAGTAGAAGGTTACGATACCAAATATCCTAGTGGACCTTACCAGATAGAATCACGAAGGGTGGAAGACACCAGCTAGATGCATTAATACACTCGATAGCTATCACCTACTCGCGATTGCCTGGCTGTACGATAACTGCGCGACCAACTCTGTCAGAGCTAGTAACTACCTTAGACGTGCTAGCGACGCCCATCGCGAAGCCAGTCTCATTAAAGTTGTAGATGTCTTGATCTAGAATACCGTACGCCTAGCGCGTCTCCTCTACTAGCTTAAACCAGGCTGCGATTGCGACAGGATCCTCGCAGGAGGCACGCTAGCTATTAAGTCGCCTACTCCACTTTGTCTGAAGCTCTAGCTGGCTCTAGATAAAGCGTGACACCCATTTCTTGCCTATAGGTTGTGAAGGTGGATCTTAGCCACGCGCAGCGAGTAACGCGTCTGCCATTCGTCGCACGTCAATAATATAGGGTAGAAAGCCTCGTCGGTCTAGCTCTAGAATCCACTAAATAAGAGACTGCTCCTCAACAGGTGATAGCTTACGCCTAGTAGACGGAACCTCTGATCGTGGCTGAATACCGCGGAGGCGTGTCTGGAGCGTCGATTTTGGCACGTCGTACGCTTTCGCGAGAGAGTAGATAGATTGTTTTGGATTATTATGATAGGACGCCATAGCAAGACTTATTCTACCTTCACGAGAAGTCTGTATAGAACGTTGTTGTCGCGGCATTGTGGTTGTTGTGTAGAGCGTCGCGTTAAGTTTGGTGGGGCGGCCAGCTTACTGTTCCGGCCAGCTTACTGATCCCGCACGTTATAGTAGTAGAATAGCTAGTAGATAGAAACCAGAGCAGATTGCACAGAGCAGGCCACTAGTGCAGACAACCAGATAAGATCGGACCAATCCAATTCTTCAATCTCTCTCCCCTAGCATTTCTCTCTTTTCATCCTAGAACCTATCGATTCGCTACCTCTGAGTCTATCGCTAGACAAGTAGACGACTCTGTAACGGCGCAGGCAAGACTACTCGGATCAGTATCGGCGGTAGTGTCACTCAGAGGCATATGGGAGTGCGTGGGACATCAAACGAGCCTTGATTCGAGTAGACACCTATAGGCCTTATACGAAAGGATATCAAAAGTCTACAGAGCTAGCTACAGGGAGTGTCTCCTTATATACTTATCTTGGTCGGATCCGAATCGGATCCGACCTCACAACGAGTGGTTGATGAAGAGGGCGGCGAATACTACCTCCGATCCGGCTCTGGGATTGGTCCGATACTTGGCGGAGTGTAACATCGTTACAGACTCTACCTCTGAGCTAGCTATAGAACAAGTAGCACCCTCCTTATTCCAACACTAAGAACTTGCCCCTTATCTATATAAAGTAGTAGTGTTACACGGGGTTGGGTGCTGATACTTCTCTAAGCTCGATCCGGGTTAGGGCGAGTAAGGATATGTGAATAGCGCCGTGAGGTAGTTGTCTGGCGATGCAGTGGAGTGGGCGTGCTTGTAAGATAGATAACAATAGGTTTGACAATTCCTAATCTATATCGAATAGACTAACAAGTATTAATCTTGTGAAGTTGAGTAACTAGTAAGAAAGTACAATTTGAGTTGACCACAACGAGAGTAATAATGAAATCCATCTATCCTTATATCCTCATTGCTTCTAGTCCTGGCTTCACGGTCTTCACGAAATAATCCCTGTATCTTCTGAAGTCCCTAAAGACATCTAGTCACGTGTGAGGGTGTCCTCACATACTAGCGCGGGATACTTGGTCTTGGCGTGAAGCTAGTCACGTGATCTTCGCCCCGCGATGATCATTACCTTCTGACGTGGACGTCCTTAGGCCTTCAGCTATCTCGTTATTTGTTAAGGAGAGAATCCTTCTTGTTACTTATAACATTACCTCCCCTCTTAGAGCTATTGTCTCGATACTCTAGAATATCGTTTTCCCGTACCGCGTGTTGAGACGCCGGCTGCATATAAGGTTAGAGCCCGTCCACTTATTATAGCCGTCTCTGCCTTGTAGCCTTCCTAACTATGCTAAAGATCTAGTCGAACCGCCGCGTCTGTACTTAGAATTTAACTTCTTAATGTTGGGCCCGTGCTGACCGTATAAGGGAATAAGGTCGCGAAATAACTTTCTATTGTAAATGTTGTGAAGAGAAGAATCTTTAGTATTTCGTGGATATAGTAACTAGTCGCTATACTAGTTGTATTTCTATTTCTGCTAAGTATAGTCTTTTCGTGTCTGAGGAAGAGTAGGAGAAGGTTAAAGCTAAAAAGCGGCAAAAACGTCTCGAAATCGCTCGTGCTGAGGAATGTTAACTTTAGGCCGCGATAGAGACCGCCCGTCTTCGTCGTAAGCTTCTGGAGGTTAAGGCGCGGGAGCGGGAATTCGCTAATTGAGATCATGCTATCCTAAGTCTTTAAGACCGGGTGAAAGAGTAGGCCGAGGGGAACTCTGCCCTTAGTACGGGCCTTCCTATCGTCGAACTACTGCTATTCGAACTATTAGCTAATCTGGGCTGGTTATAGGCTGACTTCTTCGATTCTTCTTTTGATTATTCCTTCCTCTTCAAGGGGCTTCCCCTCGCTTCTCTGGGTGCTTTCAGTGGTATTCACGTACTAGTGACTTGTAGTTTGTTAGGTTTCTTTTAGGTTCCTAAGTGTTGTGGTTTTCGGGCTATCTTTACTACTTAACTAAGTACTTCTACTAACTACTGATTTTCCGCAGGTTCTTAATTTCTTCGACCTCGTACTCGTTGTCTTTGAGCTCTATGTCTGTTACTAGCTTGGTATCTAGAGGTGCTGGTTCTAGGAGTTTCTTGTGAAAGATAGGGTGGATTTATATATCTTATAGGAGTTTTAACTTATAGTTTACTTTTCCTATTTCCTCTAGGATTTTAAATAGTTCTATTTGGAGGTTGTCTAATTTTCTGTATAGTTGTTTAGTTTTTAGGTTTTATCGTAATAAGAAAACTTTGTCCCCCTTCTTAAAGGTTAGTCTCTTAATTCTTAGTTTATTCGCTGTTTTGGATGTCGTGAGGTTCTGTTAAGCTATGTTCTTACTTAATTCTTCGTGTAATTCTCGCATAAGCCTTGCTTTGTCGTCTGCTCCTATCGCGATACTTTTAATATCTTTTAGATCTCGCTAAGTAATTAGCTCGTATCTATAGTTCGCGTAGTGCGGCGAATGCTTTATTATTGCTGATTTCGTACTGTTGTAGGCTAATTGCGCTGTTGGTAGTAACTCTACCTAGTTGTCCTATAATTTGTTAGCGTATATCCGTAGGTACTGTTCTAATATCTAGTTCGTTTGTTCCGTCTGGCCGTCTGTTTCGGGGTAAAAGCTTATCGAAAGCTTCTTTTTAATATCTATCCTTACTAGGAATGTATTCTAGTATTTAGACGTAAATAGTTTATCACGATTGGTAATGAACTCTTTAGGTATTCTATGCTCTGATACTAATGCTTTGGTAACTTCGTACGCGCATTTATCTGCCGTAATAGTCTCTTCTATAGGCATAAATTTTACTACCTTAGTTAATTAGTCCACGATTACTAAGATTGTGTCGTAAAATCGGGCTAATTCTAGTTCTAACGATTTCGGGAGCTTTACTATAAAGTTCATCATTATACTTATCTATAGTCTAGACGGTGGCTGTAGAGGTTGTAATAGGCCGTAGGGCTTATGTCTTTTAGGCTTGTTCTAGTGACATGCTAAATAGTTACCTAGTATTTCCTGCACCTTCGTACGTATACGTGGTATTATAAACACCTTAGCTAGTCGTCTAACTATTTCTTCGATTCCTGTATGTCCATACTCTTAGAACTTATGCAGTTTCTATATAAGACTCGATCTTATGTGTGGAGGTATATATGTTCGATTCTTTGAAACTATATCTCAGTACTCTCGTTCGTCGTTCAATAGTTCGTCGGAGCCTGCTTTGTTGGGCTCAAACTGCCAGCTAGCTGCTCGCTACTGCTATTACTGTTGTAGCGTTTCTATCTGCTCGGCCACCTTAGCTACTTTAGCTAGTTCCGGCTAGTTGTACTTTAGACTGCTATTGGGCATCTTCTTAAGTAAGGCGTTATGTAGTTTCTTATGACCCTCTTCGCGCAAATTAGACCTCCTACTTAAAGCGTCTGCTGCTTCATTAAGCGTTCCCGCGCGGTGCGTGATCTTGAAGTCGAACTGGGCTAGCATCTCTGCCTATCGCACTTGTCGTCGGTTGAGTTTTTTCGTTGTTATAAAACTTGTTAAGTTCTGGTAATTAGTAAAAACCTTAATCTAGTCGGGGAGTTCTAATAGGTATACTTCCTATTATTTAAAGGCATTAACTACTCTAAGTAGTTCCTTATCGTAAACATCGTAATTGAGTTCTGCTCCTAAGAACTTTCGTGAATGGTAGAACACTAGTCTCTATTTTTTATCTGGGTACTGCTATGATAGCATAGCTCTAAGTGCGTAGTTAGACGCGTTGGTCTTGACTCTAGTGGGTCGTTGAGGGCTGTACATCTCGAGTACTGGTGCCTTTAGGAATATCTGCTTAATTTAATTAAAAGCCTCTTAATGTTCCTGTTTCTATTTAAAACTTATTTCTTTTTTTGTTACTTCTATAAGGGGTGCTGTAATCTTTGAATAATCCTTAATAAACTTTCGATAATAATTCGTAAATTCTAAAAAGGACTAGATGTCTTTAACTATTTTGGGCTTTGGCTATTCCTGTACAGTCTGTATCTTTTTTAGGTTTATTTTTACTTCTTTAGTTGATATAATGAATCTGAGAAATTCCGTTTCCTATGTGTGGAATTTATACTTTCCTAGTTGAAGGTATAGCTTATATTCTTTAAGCTTTCGTAAAACCTTCTTAATATGCTTAATATATTCTTCGCGTGTGCCGCTGGAGTACACTAGTACATCGTCTAGATACGCGGTAATAAAGATTCTAAGATACTTATGGAGTGCGTTGTTAATAACTAATTAAAAGGTTGCCGGCGTATTCGTTAATCCGAATAGTATAACCGTGTACTTAAAGAGTCCGTACTTCGTTTTGAACGCTGTTATCTATTCGTAACCTTCTTTAATTCTGATTTGGTAAAATCCTTCCTGAATATTAAACTTCGTAAACTACTTAGCTCTCTAGAGTTAATCTATAAGTTCCGTAATAAGTGGTAAGAGGTACTAGTTCTTCTGAGTAACGCTGTTTAACCTCCTAAAGTCGATATATAGTTGCTACTTTCTGTTAGGCTTCTTTACGAACAAAATGGGTGAGGCTATCGGGCCTGATCTCGGTCGGATAAATCCCTTTTTTAAGTTCTTTTGGAGGTAATCCCGCAGCTTAGTATCGTGCTCGGGCGCTATAGGGTACATTCCTCCTGGGCTTAACTTCGCTTCTTTCTTTAGGATGATCTCGTGATCCCAATCCTGGTGTTCTGCTAAGTCTGTTGCTTTATTTTCCTCGAATAGTTCCCTGAACTCGTCCGTCTGGTATTCTGTTAGAATCGCTAACTGTGGTACCGATCCTTCCTT